TCCTCAGATGTTTCAGAGTTGAGAAAAACAAGTTGATACCAGTTGTCTATTGTGCTTTTGTTCTGGGAACAAAATGAGGCATCCTCAGCAAAGGAAAATATCACCTCCGGTGTAATTACAGAATCTGCTCTTATCAAGTATTTCATTGTTGAGCTGACTCTCTCCATGTTGCAAAGTTTGTAATTTTTGGTTATAGTTGGAGAAGATTTAGATAACTTTGATGTTGTGTTGATGTGAACAAGAATACCCAGGTGGTCGGAGCACAGATCAGGAACGACCTCTACCAGGGTGATTAGATGTCTCATATTTCTTGTGCAGAAAAGCAGGTGTGGAATAGAGTACGGATTGTTCCCCATAACGTCGTGGTGTCTTGATTTGTACGAAATTTCCCAAAGGCATTTTGAAAAAAAGGGCAACTGGCCAATGATTTTGAAAACTATCGATGAAAATTGCAACATCGAAAATTTGATCAAAAATTAAAATATTGTTTTCTCAAAAACTAAAAGTTATTTTTCAAAACGGGTTGGTTCATTGGAAAGAGGATACTTTTATTATCATTTTGGGAAATTTTCATATTTATATTCCAAAATATCGATTTTATACGAATTTTTAAAACTTAATCGGCGAAAATTGAAAAGTTCAAAAAAATTGTCTATTATTTCAAAAATTTATTTCTCAAGAACTAAAAGTGTTTTTTCAAAACGGCTTGTTGCATTTAAAAGAGGATACTTTAATTAATAATTGGTGATATTTCCACAAGGATCCTTAAAGAAAATAATTTTATAGCGAATTTTGAAAATTATCGATAGAAATTTTCATAATCATATTCCAAGAAATCGATTTGATACGAATTTTTAAAACTTAATCGGCGAAAATTGGAAAATTCGAAAAAATTGTCGATTATTTCAAAAATGTATTTCTCAAGAACTAAAAGCGATTTTTCAAAACGGCTTTTTGCATTAAAAAGAGGATACTTTAATTAATAATTGGTGATATTTCCACAAGGATCCATCAAGAAATTAATTTTACAGCGAATTTGAAAATTATTATTAATATATATGATCACATAATTGATACCTATCTATCAAAAATCAATTCTCCTAAAAACGGGATCGCCAAGAGCTCATAAATTCCCTCAAATATAAATTCATAAAACATCATCAAGTAGACACGATTGTCTCATTCTCTGGAAACTATATGTATATCATCATGATTGAACTTGAAGGCACTTCTAAGCCTTCCCCAATCAAACCAGTCCATGGTACCCAATCCTCGATTTTACAAGACTAACAATCTCTAGCATAAAATTATTATATGCAAGCATCAATAGCTATCATCCGAAATCACAACTAATTTTAAACTACATAATTTCAAATCACATATATTGTTCAATGTTCGTGGAAACAAAATCAAAATCTAATATTAACTTTAAAGATTGGCCGACAATTCAAAAACGAGCAGCGGTTATGTTCCATCCCATTCTACAATTAGAAAAGTCAAATCCTCTAAGTATCAATTCGCCATTGAATAATGCTCTCCACTTCACCGTTATGCTTGGCGCGAGCAGACTACACATATTCCTGATTTACATCCATCCATTCAGCCAAATTGAAGACACCTTCCACATACGTTATGGAGAACAATCCGAACTCTACTCCAGAACATCAAAGTTATCTAAATCTGCTCCAACTATAACTAAAAATTACAAACTTTGCAACATGGAGAGAGTCAACTTAGCAATGAAAGACTTCATAAGACCAGATCCTGTAATTACACCGAAGGTGATATCAAAGTTTAACGAAAAACTTAAGAAATCGGTAGACGAAGCGAGCCCATCTAGAATTTGTAAATATTACACCTTTCCGTTACCACCATTCATCATCCGCTTAGTCAAAGATAAAAAACGGCTGTACCGAGACTTTAGAGAAAAACATACAAAAATTAGTACAACAATATAGAACGGAGAAATATATGGAAGCGTGCGACAAAATTCATGTAAGGGGAAAAATTATTGGCAGGAAGTTGGTAAACTATCTAGATACCAAAAGTTTTCTGAAACAAAAGAGCTCACTGATCGCACTGATGGGACTGCGCATTCGAACCCTGAAAAGATTGTTAACATCCATGCTGACTACCTGGAAGGAATATTTTCGTTTGCTCATTATGCCTCATTTTGTTCCCAGAACAAAAGCACAATAGACAACTGGTATAAACTTGCTTTTATAAATCCCTCTGAAACACCTGAGAGTGCTATTATGCTGGAGGACGAGTATTTCACTCTTCTAGGCCAAGTAAAGAACACGCCTCCTCGTCATGATAACATCTCGAGGAAGGTGCTGAGAAGCTTGGACTTTGACATTCTATCCTACATCAGGGAAATAATTAACGTCTGCCTCATGATTCAACATTTTCTACGGGACTGGAGAACCTCTATTATAATCTGCGTCCTCAAGAAGGAAATTTGAAAAAATTGTCGATTATTTCAAAAATTTATTTCTCAAAAACTAAAAGTTATTTTTCAAAATCGGTTATTTCATTGGAAAGAGGACACTCTTATTAACACTTTGGGAAATTTTCAAACTCATATTCCAAGAACTGGATTTTATACAAATTTTTAAAACTTAATCGGCGGAAATTGCAAAATTTGAAGGAATTGTCGATTATTTCAAAAATTTATTTCTCAAGAACTAAAAGTGATTATGTAAAACCCCTTTTTGCATTAAAAAGAGGATACTTTAATTAATAATTGGTGATATTTCCACAAGGATCCTTCAAGAAATTAATTTTATAGCGAATTTTGAAAGTTATCGATGAAAATTGCAACATCGAAAATTTTATCAAAACTTCAAATATTGTTTTCTCAAAAACTAAAAGTTATTTTTCAAAACGGGTTGGTTCATTGGAAAGAGGACACTTTTATTAACACTTTGGGAAATTTTCATACTCATATTCCAAGAAATGGATTTTATACGAATTTTTAAAACTTAATCGGCGAAAATTGCAAAATTCGAAAAAATTGTCGATCATTTCAAAAATTTATTTCTCAAGAACTAAAAGTGATTTTTCAAAACGGCTTTTTGCATTAAAAAGAGGATACTTTAATTAATAATTGGTGATATTTCCACAAGGATCCTTCAAGAAATTAATTTTATAGCGAATTTTGAAAGTTATCGATGAAAATTGTATCATCGAAAATTTTATCAAAACTTCAAATATTGTTTTCTCAAAAACTAAAAGTTATTTTCCAAAACGGGTTTGTTCATTGGAAAGAGGATACTTTTATTAACATTTTGGGAAATTTTCAAACTCATATTCCAAGAACTGGATTTTTTACGAATTATTAGAATTTAATCGGCGAAAATTGCAAAATTCAAAAAAAATTTCGATTATTTCAAAGATTTATTTCTCAAGAACTAAAAGTGATTTTTCAAAACGGCTTTATGCATTAAAAAGAGGATACTTTAATTAATAATTGATGATATTTCCACAAGGATCCTTCAAGAAATTAATTTTATAGCGAATTTTAAAAATTATCGATGAAAATTGCAACATCGAAAATTTTATCAAAACTTCAAATATTGTTTTCTCAAAAACTAAAAGTTATTTTTCAAAACGGGTTGGTTCATTGGAAAGAGGACACTTTTATTAACACTTTGGGAAATTTTCATACTCATATTCCAAGAAATGGATTTTATACGAATTTTTAAAACTTAATCGGCGAAAATTGCAAAATTCGAAAAAATTGTCGATTATTTCAAAAATTTATTTCTCAAGAACTAAAAGTGATTTTTCAAAACGGCTTTATGCATTAAAAAGAGGATACTTTAATTAATAATTGATGATATTTCCACAAGGATCCTTCAAGAAATTAATTTTATAGCGAATTTTAAAAATTATCGATGAAAATTGCAATATTAAAAATTTTATCAAAACTTTAAATATTGTTTTCTCAAAAACTAAAAGTTATTTTTCAAAACGGGTTGATTCTTTGGAAACAGGACACTTTTATTAACACTTTGGGAAATTTTCATACTCATATTCCAAAAACTAGATTTTATACGAATTTTTAAAACTTAATCGGTCAAAATTGCAAAATTCGAAAATATGATCGATTATTTCAAAAATTTATTTCTCAACAACTAAAAGTGATTTTTTAAAACGGCTTTTTGCATTAAAAAGAGGATACTTTAATTAATAATTGGTGATATTTCCACAAGGATCCTTCAAGAAATTAATTTTATAGCGAATTTTGAAAATTATCGATGAAAATTGCAACATCGAAAATTTTATCAAAACTTCAAATATTGTTTTCTCAAAAAGTAAAAGTTATTTTTCAAAACGGGTTGGTTCATTGGAAAGAGGACACTTTTATTAACACTTTGGGAAATTTTCCAACTCATATTCCAAGAAATCAATTTTATACGAATTTTTAAAACTTATTCGGCGAAAATTGTAAAAATCAAAAATTTAGAAGTAGGATTGTTACAATGAGGTTGCTAATGATAAAGTTGAAGTCCTATTGGGGTTGAACTTGATTTTATCTGCAGTGTCCAACACCTAAGCTCGATTTAGCTTCAAAATAGTACCTTTCTTAGTTTTGTAACCTTCTGGTATTTTGATTTAAACTTTAGACGTAAGTTCTCCATTCAGGAAAGCTGATGGTACATCCAACTGTTGCAACTTCCAATTCTTTTGTACTGCATGTATAATTAATGTTTTTATTGTTGCCATTCTTGCTACAGGAGTATATTGTATTGTTCTTTTACTTGGAAACCTTTTGCTACAAGTCTTTTTCTTTATTGTTTTTTGTCATTCCTTTACTTTTATTGCCTCACTGTAAAGAGATACTAATTCCTGTGAATGGTGGAGTACTAAGTAATAGATTTTTAATATCCGGACAAAGCTAATGAGAGATAACATGAGATCGAATAATGTGAATTGTTGTATATTGGGTTGCATATCTTATACTAAAAAATTTTGTTAGATTTTACCTAATTTTTATTAACAAATTTAATTTATAACAATACAATTTTATTATTCACGTTATAGGTTCAATCATGGGACGTAATTTAGATGCTGCCGGTAATAAAAATGTTACAATAATTAAAACTGAAAAGAAAAAAAGAAATTAATTAATTAACAATTAAAAATAGATTTAATTTTACCGATATGATCAGCTGCAAAAACATAAAACGTATATTCGCAAACTTTATAAACTAATTGTCCGGTTACATTTGACCCAGCAACAGCCCCAAATCTTCCTGCCATCAAAGAAATGGCCAAAGCCATGCCTCGTAATTGCGTTGGATATAATTCAACGGTTATCGTGTTAATAATTCCAACTCCTGCGCTGCTTAAAAGAAAGATTCCCATTAAAATTTTCGACCAGGAGTCAATTTTGATGTATTGAGAAGCGATTCCGCATCCTGCGGAGACTCCCAAGATGATGATTAACAAATTTTTGGCCCCTAATCGATTAATAATCGTCCCGGAGATTATGTAAAGTACTGCCAAAGCTCCCCCTATTATAATCGATGGGATATAAACCGATTCGTTCATTGAATCAAAACAAATCGAATCATCCTAAAAAAAAGAATAATTAATGAAAAAGAAAATTTATTAGTTAATTGAGTTACTTCTTCGATGTTTCCATAAGAAAGTGCTGTACAAGTGATATCTTGAAATGGGTATTGTTCAATTCGGTTTAAAATTTCTGGGTACCACATAAATAAGCCGGAAGAACTAGCGAATGTTCCAAATTGTAAGAAACACACCATGAGGGTTTTGGTTAAATAAGGTTTTTTAAATAACGGGGCAGTTTGGGACCAAATCGTTTTAAATATTCCATTTTTTTTATCTTTTTCCATCGGGATTTCGTCTAAAATTAGATCAGAAACGGGGAAATTTTCCTTGCTTTTTCCCGTATTAACAGAATAAATTGTTTTAATCGCTTCGAAAGCTTCGTCGCTATTTCCTTGCGCCATCAAGTACTTCGGACTTTCCGGGAAACAATAAAGCCCAATCGCCCAAATTAAACTCGGAGCCCCAAAAGAAGCCACCAATAACCTCCAAGGCTTCACTTCTACCCCAAGAATTTTTAAATCTACATCTAAAGGGATTATTAACCACGATAAAAACGGCAAAACGATGTTTCCTAAAGCTACGAAAGTTGCGATCCAAGCCACGACTTTTGGGCGAAATCTTTGGTTGTGAAATTCACCTATGTAAGCATAAATTACAGCGGAAGCTCCACCAATACTACAAAAAAATGATTAATTAAAAGAAATTGATTAATAAATTAACCCTTTGTGTCCCAAGAAGTTGAAACTTTATTAGTTGTTTTGAAACTTTATGAAACTTAAAAATTCCTGGAAGCCGTATTTATTGAAATTAAGGAATTAGACTTATTCCAAATTAAAGCTCAAAGCTTTCTCTTTACAATGATGTATAATAATTGTTGGGTTGGCTTGGAAAAATATTGAGAGAAAAAATGGTGAAACAAAACTTACATTTTCGTATAACCTAAAAGTGTCAAAAAAGATGCTAATTTAAAAATTCTTGGAAGCCGTATTTATTGAAATTAAGGAATGAGACTTATTCCAAATTAAAGCTCGAAGCTTTCTCTTTACAACGATGTATAATAATTGTTGGGTTGAATTGCAAAAATATTGAGAAAAAAAATGTTGAAACAAAACTTACATTTTCGTATAACCTAAAAGTGTGAAAAAAGATGCTAACTTAAAAATTCGGGGAAACCGTATTTATCGAAATTAAGGAATGAGACTTATTCTAAATTAAAGCTCAAAGCTTTCTCTTTACAATGATGTATAATAATTGTTGGGTTGGATTGGAAAAATATTGAGAAAAAAAATGTTGAAACAAAACTTACATTTTCGTATAACCTAAAAGTGTCAAAAAAGATGCTAATTTAAAAATTCGTGGAAGCCGTATTTATTGAAATTAAGGAATGAGACTTATTTTAAATTGAAGTTCAATGCTTTCTTTTTAAAATGATCTGTAATAATCACACCTAATAACCATTTATCAAAGAGATACCTTTTTGAACAACAAAATTCAACAAGACCACTTTTCACTAAACTTTCACTAAAACCTCATATCTGGACGAATAAGTTTAAATATACCTAAAAATCCTATAGTGCGGATTGTGTCATTTTTTATACAGTATCTTTCTTGTTTAGTAGAAAGTACCGACAGCTCTAAATGCGCCGAATAGATGACTACACTTTAAAATGAGTGGTCGGGACACAAAGGGTTAAAAAATTACTTACAAAAATCCATTAATAAATCGGAGAATAATAAATAATTCGGCATTTGGGGCAATACTCGAAGCTAAACTCGATAAAAATCCAACTATCATGCTTAATAATAACACTTTTCTTCTTCCTTTAGTGTCGGCGAGAAATCCCCATAAATGGGAGCTTAAAACAACCCCCAAAAAACTAATCGAAGCTAAAACACTTTTTAGAAAAAGATCTAATTGGAGATCGCATTCCGCGGATGGAATCACAAACATCATCCCCATCGTCTCCATAATTACAGTCATTAAACATCCCCCACAAATTAATAAGAGATAAATATTAAATTTTCCATATCCAGCTTTTGAAATTGCACTTTCAAAATTTTCTGGTTTCTTTTCGAAAGACTTAATCATTTGTACCATTTTAAAACGATCAAAAATTACTTAATCGAGATGTTTTAATATGAACGATCTTTACTTTACTAATAGGTAGGGTCTATTGTGCGTGATTAAATATTTAATCTTCTCAACAGTTTTGAGGTGTTTAGGTTGTAATTTACTTTTTTTTTTGTCTTTTGTGGGTTGGAGTTTCATTTACAACCTATTCATAATGGAAAGTAACTAATGTGATTAGATAATTTTAGATTTTTATTTCGGTATCTAAATTGATTCATTAACTAAAAAAAATCATTTAAATTTATTGGGTTAGAAACAAACAATTAATCGTCGCGTCGTCGGTGGTAAAATAAAAACGAACAACGTAAAATGTTTAGTTTTGAGATTAATTTATTACTTGTTTATTCGTTTATTGCATTAATCAAGTTTTGATAAACTAATTTTGTTTTATTCTAGGATTACTTTTTGTGAATTTGCTTAAATAAACTCAACATCCACATCGACATCATATGATTAATTTAGTGAATCTATTACAATACGTGAAAGTGCGTCTGAAAGAGTATTTAAGTCACCTTTTATATCATATATATCAGAAGTACATTCCACAATATAATTTATGTTACGAGTTTGACGTGGAGATTATTTTGATTTTGAAAAAATTGAGCTAATTAATGGTTTATGGTTTGTAAACACTTGAAATTGGTTAATATGTAAAAAATGTTTGTTGGCAGAATAAATTGGCAGAAGCTCCCTATCAAAAGTTGAATACTTCGTTTGGATTTTTATTAATTTTTTTGAAAAAAAATGCTAAAAGGCTAGTTACATTGTTGTTAGACTGATTGTGAGATAAGATAGCACCTATTGAAGTATCTGAGGTATATATAGAGAGTGAAAGTAAGCCTGTTGGTGAAGAATGAGTTAAAATGTTGCGTATGAGTTTTCGGAATGTTTGTTGGAAATTAACGTTGGGGAAGAACTAATCGATTACCAAACTCTGTTGGCCATTGTTATAAAAAATATTCTTAAGGTATTAAGTAATCCATTATTATTTAACATTTATCTATGACCAGTTTCTAATAATATAGAATAAATCACAAAATGTCAAATTGAACGATTTTTCTTTATAAAATCAACAATAACGTAAGAACTAAAACTAATGGAGAAAGACGTTATGAATAAAAATCATTCCTAATACATCAAGAAATCATAATCCATAATTATTTCATTCTTATCTATCACTAATCTCTAGTGATGTAACACAAGTCACAAAATGTCAAAATTGGACGATTTTTCTTAATAAAATCAACTATAACCTAAGTACTAAAACAGATGGAGAGAGACGTTATGAATAAAAAATACTCCCAATGTATCGAGAAATCATAATCCATGATTATTTCATTCTTATCTATTGCCAATTTCTAGTGATATAGCATAAATTCCCAAAATGTCAAAATTGTACGATTCTTAATAAAACCAACTATAACGTAAGTACTAAAACTGATGGAGAGACACGTTATGAATAAAAAATACTCCCAATGCATCAAGAAATCATAATCCATAATTATTTTATTCTTATCTAGCACCAATTTCTAGTGATATAGCATAAATCCCCAAAATGTCAAAATTGGACGATTCTTCTTAATAAAATCAACTATAACCTAAGTACTAAAACTGATGGAGAAAAACGTTATGAATAAAAAATACTCCCCATACATCAAGAAATCATAATCCATAATTATTTCATATTTATCTATCACCACTTTCTAGTGATATAGCATAAATCCCCAAAATGTCAAAATTGGACGATTCTTTTAATAAAATCAACTATAACCTAAGTACTAAAACTGATGGAGAAGGACGTTATGAATAAAAAATACTCCTAAAGTATCAAGACATTATAATCCATAATTATTTTATTGTTATCTAGCACCAATTTCTAGTGATATAGCATAAATCCCCAAATTGTCAAAATTAGACGATTTTTCTTAATAAAATCAACTATAACGTAAGTACTAAAACTGGTGGAGAGAGACGTTATGAATAAAAAATACTCCCAATGCATCAAGAAATCATAATCCATAATTATTTCATATTTATCTATCACCAATTTCTAGTGATATAGTATAAATCCCCAAAATGTCAAAATTGGACGATTCTTCTTAATAAAATCAATTATATCGTGTGTACTAAAACTGATGGAGATACACGCTATGAATAAAAAATATTCCTAATGCATCAAGAAATCATAATTCATAATTATTTCATTCTTATCTAACGCCAATTTCTAGTGATATAACATAAATGACAAAATATCAAAATTGAACGATTTTTCTTAATAAAATCAACTATAACCTAAGTACTAAAACTGATGAAGAAAAACGTTATGAATAACAAATACTCCCAATGCACCAAGAAATCATAATCCATATTTATAGCATTCTTATCTAGCGCCAATTTCTAGTGATATAGCATAAATCCCTAAAATGTCAAAATTGAACGATTTTTCGTAATAAAATCAGCTATAACGTAAGTACTAAAACTGATGGAGAGAGACGTTATGAATAAAAAATACTCCTAATGCATCAAGAAATCATAATCCATAATTATTTTATTCTTATCTATCACCAATTTCTAGTGATATAGTATAAATCCCCATATTGTCAAAATTGGACGAATTTTCTTAATAAAATCAGCTGTAACGAAAGTACTAAAACTGATGGAGAAAAACGTTATGAATAAAAAATACTCCTAAAGTATCAAGAAATTATAATCCATAATTATTTCATATTTATCTATCACCACTTTCTAGTGATATAGCATAAATCCCCAAAATGTCAAAATTGGACGATTCTTCTTAATAAAATCAATTACAACCTAAGTACTAAAACTGATGGAGAAAAGCGTTATGAATAACAAATACTTCCAATGGATCAAGAAATTATAATCCATAATCAATTCATTCTTATCTATCACCAGTTTTTAATGATATAGCATAAATCACAAAATGTCAAAATTGGACGATTTTTCTTAATAAAATCAACTATAACGTAGGTACTAAAACTGGTGGAGAAAGACGTTATGAATAAAAAATACTCCTAATGCATCAAGAAATTATAATCTATAATTATTTTATTGTTATCTAGCACCAATTTCTAGTGATATAGCATAAATCCCCAAATCGTCAAAATTAGACGATTTTTTTAATAAAATCAGCTATAATGTAAGTACTAAAACTGATGGAGAGAGACGTTATGAATAAAAAATACTCCCAGTGCATCAAGAAATCATATTCCATAATTATTTTATTCTTATCTAGCACCAATTTCTAGTGATATAGCATAAATCCCCAAAATGTCAAAATTGAACGATTTTTCTTAATAAAATCAACTATAACGTAAGTACTAAAACTGATGGAGAGAGACGTTATGAATAAAAAATACTCCCAATGCATCAAGAAATCATAAGCCATAATTATTTCATATTTATCTATCACCAGTTTCTAGTGATATAGCATAAATCCCCAAAATATCAAAATTGGATGATTCTTCTTAATAAAATCAATTACAACCTAAGTACTAAAACTGATGGAGAAAAACGTTATGAATAACAAATACTCCAAATGCATCAAGAAATTATAATCCATAATCAATTCATTATTATCTATCACCAGTTTCTAATGATATAGCATAAATCACAAAATTGGACGATTTTTCTTAATGAAATCAACTATAACGTAGGTACTAAAACTGATGGAGAAAGACGTTATGAATAAAAAATATTCCCAATGCATCAAGAAATCATAATCCATAATTATTTCAAATTTATCTATCACCACTTTCTAGGCGTTGGCGTTGAGTCCTTTGCTGTTCTGTTTATACACATCTATGCTTCCAAAAGCTGACAATTATTGTAAAATTCATATGTATGCTGACGACACTCAGTTATACTACAACTTTCCGTTTCGTAAATATGAGGGGGCAGCATGGAAAATTAATAACGACTTAGCTAATGTCAGTGAATTTGCAAAAAAAAGCGCCTTGATATTGAACCGTGATAAAAGTGTTATTAGTCTGTTTGGTAAAAATGTGGAAGTTGAATGGTTGCAATATACTAAACACATTAAGTGTTTATTTTTTGAAATTGAAACTACTCTATTCTTTCAAAGATATTTTTAATTTAAAAATGAAGAAGATGCTTTGTTCAACATGTTTGTTCCATGTTTGGATTCCATGGATATATTGAGAGTGCAAAGAGTGCAGAACGCTTGCATGAGATATATATTCAGAATTTGAAAGAATCTCTCAGAAGCTTAAAGAGTTAACTTGGCTGAATGTTAAAGTTTCTTAATAAAATCAAGTATAATGTAAGTACTAAAACTGATGGAGGAAGTCGTTATGAATAAAAAATACTCCTAATGCATTAATAAATCATAATCCAGAATTATTTCATATTTATCTAGCATTTCAAAAAAAAACAAAATGAACTTCTGAATAAAAAAAGTTTCCAGAAGTTTTAACAAAATTTTAATAATAATAAGCAATATTTACTTCTTAGTTTTAATTTATTACTACATTTTAACAATGGAGCGAATTTTTTAAACTATTTCTTGAAAAACAATTGGTTTTTAGTCGGGAAATTCCTATGTTTGCAAAAAATTCCATTAAAATTTTTCAATAAACACCACGTTTTAAACTAAAAACAAGTTTATTATTTCTTAACACAACATGTTTTTCAATCTAATAGAAAGAAAATAAAATTAATAAATATTTTCGAAAAGCTTTTTCGTTTCCATGTCGTTGGTGAAAGCTTCGCGAGTAGGAAATCATGAAAATTAGGAGGTGGGAGAGCTTTCACTTTTTGGCTTTGGATCAATATCACACAAAATAAGACAAAATTAAAAAAAAAATAATTTATTTTAAGTTTTTATCACAGTTTCTTTTCTCTTTCGATCGCATTAAAGTTGCTACAACTGAAGAGGCTAAAAATGAAAAATAAATTAAAATGATTTGAGTCAAAAATGTATAAATTGAATTATTCTTACAAATTAAAAGTGTGGCGTAAATTGAGAATGCGATGTAACAATTTAATTGGATTATATGACCGATTGTGGATGTTGAAATTAAACTGCTTATTCTTCCCATCGTTAAGCTAAAACTCACCGCTGAAGATCTTAAATGAGTTGGGAAAATATCGACCATAATTGCGCTTACAACCACCACACATAATCCAGGAAGGACCAAAAATAAAACGAATAAGATGTTTATTAATAATGGTGAGGTGACGAATATCATTATTGTCGCACAAATACCTGCTGTTAATGTAAATAAACCTAAAATTAATAAATAATAAGTTAAAATAAAATTTAATTTAGGTTATGTGTCAGTGTCAAATAAAATTTTTTGACAGTTACCAACCTAATCGAAATAAATAAATAAATTTTCTAACTTTATTAAAAATTGACAGCTGTCAAATAACAACATCCGTACAGCTTCAATGAACGAATCTTCAAAATTTTTAGTGTAAACATAAATTATGAGTATCATCAATCATCACCGTTGGGTCAAAATCGTTTGTGGATCATATTTCTTAGGTGAGTTTAACATAATTTTTATTTACAACCAATTTCGATTTAAAAATAATTTTGAAATGTCAAAAAAAATCATTTAGTAACATTTTAGTTTTTTATGTTGGCAATGAAATGATTTTTAAACGTCAAAATTAATCAAATTTATCATTATTATTACCTTGTATAAAAGTTTTTCGGAGATATTTTAAAGCGAGGATAATAATTAATTGTCCTGAAAGGTACATAACCCCGATCCATAAATTTTGGGTAAACATCGAAGTGTTAAATTCGTTTTTCTCCTCATTACAATTAATCGTAACGTTTTTTATCCCACTTTGAATAGCTTCGCAAACCGTTACATTCGAATCATCGTTATTTTGAATGTTTAAAATATCGGCGTACCAAATCAATAATCCGCTTGAAACGGCGAAATTACAAAATTGCAAGAAACTCGTCGAAACAACATCAAAAATGTATTTCTTTTTAAACAAACACGAAAATTGTTCGGTTAAAACCACCAAAAACGACTTATTTGTAAGCTTCTTATCATCGTTTTCTTCCGCGAAAATCTTTTTAACTTTATAATCATCTTTGCCGTTATTCCCAAGATAAATTTTTTTTAAAACTTGTATCGTCGAATCTAAATCGCCCGTGCTTAAAAGATATTTCGGACTTTCCGGGAAAAAAGAAACCGATAAAGTCCCAAAAAGTAAAGGTAAAGTGTTTAATAACAAAAAGATTCTCCACGAATTAAATTTGTAGTTAAAAATTGTTATTGAATAATCTAGGGGTAATAAGATCCACGCTAAAGTTGGGATAAAAATCGAATAAAAATTTTGTAACACTCCGATAAATACGATTGATTTCGAGCGATACTTTTGAGGTAAAAATTCGCCTGCGTATGCGAAAATCGTTGATAAAGCTCCAGTTACACTAAAAAAAATTAATTAAAATAAATATAATTTTTTTAATTATGACTTACAAAGCTCCAACGAGACATCTAAATATAGTAAAAGCCCAAAATGAGTGTGATAACATCGCCATGATGCTACAAAAAACACCCCCACTTCCGGAATAGATGATTATTTTTTTTCTTCCATAACGATCGGATAGAAATCCCCAAATATTCGCTCCGATTATCATCCCGATTAAACAAGCACCGGCTAAAAGCGATTTTGAGCTTGTATCCAAATTTAAATCGCATTCTGCGGCGGGGAGTACAAATCCAATTGTGTAAATCTCCGCTGTTGCACCGCATAAGCAAAGACCACAAGCTAAAGTTAATAAGATTGTGTATTTTCCATAGCCTAAAAAATTAATTAAATCAAAATTGATTCAATGTGATTAAGGTTTAAGTTAAGATGACGTTACACGTAGCAGTTGACTGCTATGGCAGTAACTACGGAAGATTTTGGACTGCTGCGTGTATCGTCGGCTTAACAATTAAAGTTAAAATTAACACTAAACTTTTCTTTAATACAAATGCATCACTTAAAATAAAGTAAAACTTTCTTTTATACAAATATATTACATAGAAGCCGAGGCAGCCATGTTGCCGAGGCAGTAGTTCAAGGTTTACAATAATAACATACAGGGAATTTCATATAACTCGCAAAATATGAATGCTATAACGGCAGTTACGAAACTGCTTTGCACTGTCCCACATAACCCTTTGTGTCCCGACGGTACTTTAAAGTACAGGTAGTTTTAAGCACTAGTTTTAAAAAGATTTTTAAATTTCAATAACCACGGCTTCCGGAAATTTTTAAATTAGCACCTTTTTTTAACATTTTTAGGTTATAAATGTAAGTTTTGTTTCAACATTTTTTTTTCTCAATATTTTTCCAATCCAACCCAACAACTATTGTATATCATTGTAAAGAGAAAGCTTTGAGCTTTAATTTAGAATAAGTCTCATTACTTAATTTCTATAAATACGGTTTCCACGAATTTTTAAATTAGCATCTTTTTTGATACTTTTAAGTTAAACGAAAATGTAACTTTTGTTTCAACATTTTTTTTCTCAATATTTTTCCAATCCAACCCAACAATTATTATACATCATTGTAACGAGAAAGCTTTGAGCTTTAATTTGGAATAAGTCTCATTCCTTAATTTCAATAAATACGGTTTCCACGAATTTTTAAACTAGCATCTTTTTTGACACTTTTGGGTTATACGAAAATGTAAGTTTTGTTTCAATATTCTTTTTCTCAATATTTTTCCAATGCAACCCAACAATTATTATACATCATTGTAAAGAGAAAGCTTTGAGCTTTAATTTAGAATAAGTCTCATTCCTTAATTTCAATAAACACGGCTTTTAAAAAGTTTTAAATTATCACCTTTCTTTTGACACTTTTAGGTTATACGAAAATGTAAGTTTTGTTTCAACATTTTGTTTCTCAATATTTTTCCAATCCAACCCAACAACTATTGTACATCATTGTAAAGAGAAAGCTTTGAGCTTTAATTTAGAATAAGTCTCATTCCTTAATTTCCATTTTATTCCTGGAATATGGCTTCCATGAATTTTTGAATTAGCATTCTTTTTGACACTTTTAGGTTATACGAAAATGTAAGTTTTGTTTCAACATTTTTTTTCTTAATATTTTTCCAATCTAACTCAACACTTATTATACATCATTTTAAAGAGAAAGCTTTGAGCTTTAATTTAGAATAAGTCTCATTCCTTAATTTCAATAAACACGGCTTCCAGCAATGTTTAAATTAGCATCTTTTTTGACACTTTTAGGTTATACGAATATGTAAGTTTTGTTTCCACATTCTTTTTCTGAATATTTTTCCAATCCAACCCAACAATTATTATACATCATTTTAAAGAGAGAGCTTTAAGCTTTAATTTAGAATAAGTCTCATTCCTTAATTTCAATAAATACGGCTTCCAGCAATGTTTAAATTAGCATCTTTTTTGACACTTTTAGGTTATACGAAAATGTAAGTTTTGTTTCAACATTCTTTTTCTCAATATTTTTCCAATCCAATCCAACAATTATTATACATCATTTTAAAGAGAAAACTTTAACCTTTAATTTAGAATAAGTCTCATTCCTTAATTTCAATAAACACGGCTTCCAGGAATTTTTAAATTAGCATCTTTTTTGACACTTTTAGGTTATACGAAAATGTTAGTTTTGTTTCAACTTTTTTTTTCTTAATATTTTTCCATTCCAACTCAACACTTATTATACATCATTTTAAAGAGAAAGCTTTGAGCTTTAATTTAGAATAAGTCTCATTCCTTAATTTCAATAAATACGGCTTCCAGGAATTTTTAAATTAGCATCTTTTTTGACACTTTTAGGTTATACGAAAATGTAAGTTTTGTTTCAACATTTTTTTTCTCAATATTTTTCTAATCCAACCCAACAATTATTATACATCATTTTAAAAAGAAAGCTTTGAGCTTTAATTTGAAATAAGTCTCATTCCTTAATTTCAATAAATATGACTTCCAGGAATTTTTAAATTAACACCTTTTTTTACACTTTGAGGTTATACGAAAGTGTCAGATTTATTTCAACACCTTTTCTTTCAATATTTTTCTAATTCAACCCAACAATTATTATACATCATTTTAAAGAGAAAGCTTTGAGCTTTAATGTAGAATAAGTCTCATTCTTTTGACACTTTTAGGTTATACGAAAATGTAAGTTTTGTTTCAAAATTTTTTTTCTCAATATTTTTCCAATCCAACCCAACTATTATTATACATCATTTTAAAGAGAAAACTTTGAGCTTTAATTTAGAATAAGTCTCATTCCTTAATTTCAATAGATACGGCTTCCAGGAATTATTAAATTAGCATCTTTTTTGACACTTTTAGGTTATATAAAAATGTAAGTTTTATTTCAACACCTTTTCTCTCAATATTTTTCCAATTCAACCCAACAATTATTATACATCATTTTAAATAGAAAGCTTTGAGCTTTAATTTAGAGTAAGTCTCATTCCTTAATTTCAATAAATATTACTTCCAGGAATTTTTAAATTAACACCTTTTTTTACACTTTGAGGTTATACGAAAGTGTCAGATTTATTGCAACACCTTTTTTTTCAATATTTTTCCAATTCAACCCAACAATTATTATACATCATTTTAAAGAGAAAGCTTTGAGCTTTAATTTAGAATAAGTCTCATTCCTTAATTTCAATAAATACGGCTTCCAGGAATTTTTAAATTAGCATCTTTTTTGACACTTTTAGGTTGTACGAAAATGTAAGTTTTGCTTAAACATTTTTTTTCTCAATATTTTTCCAATCCAACCCAACTATTATTATACATCATTTTAAAGAGAAAACTTTGAGCTTTAGTTTAGAGTAAGTCTCATTCCTTAATTTCAATAAATACGGCTTCCAGGAATTTTTAAATTTACACCTTTTTTTACACTTTGAGGTTATACGAAAATGTAAGATTTATTTCAACACCTTTTCTCAATATTTTTCCAATTCAACCCAACAATTATTATACATCATTTTAAAGAGAAAGCTTTGAGCTTTAATTTAGAATAAGTCTCATTCCTTAAGTTCAATAAATACGGCTTCCAGGAATTTTTGAATTAGCATCTTTTTTGACACTTAGATTATGCGAAAATGTTAATTTTTGCTCAATGTGTTTTTTTCTCAATATTCTATCAGATTTTCGTCGTTCTGTAGTTACAGGTCCGATAAATAAATATTCAAATTTCGAATTCCACGAAATTCCACGAAGCGCAAGTTCAAAAGAAAGAGGAAGTTGTGAAAATTGTTCTGCCAAAGTTAGTGTTATGTATTTATGTTGTAATGAAAGTAAGATCTGTTTTTCTGAATATCATAATGTGATTTAGCTAAAGCAAGTGTTACTTATTTTCTAACGTAATAAAAAATGTTTTATTTTTATATTGGCAATAAAAGTTTTTGTTAACTCTCAAGTACCATTATCCCCTTGGAATGGGAGGATTGCATATTTTGCTAAAATTGATTCCAAAGGCCTTTACTGAGTGTATTTTGATAGCATTTGACGATTGAAAAAAATTGTTTACAGGGAACCATTACAAGATGATACAGAACTATTAAAACTAAGAATAATTAATGCGATAGAATCTCTACCATTGGCGGAAATTCGTAATTCTTATATCGGTGGTAAACACACAAGAGAGATTTTAGGGTTTATCAAAGGGTAACAAAACTTGAGTGAATTAAAAATAAAATTATCCTGATTAATACACGACAATTACACAATTTATTGACAATTTTTAATTATGTTTTAACTACTTTTGACTTAATTACACTTGTCGAAAATGTGACAGGTAAACAAAAGCATATACAGTGTGTCCACGGAAAAGGTGTTGAATAGGAAAAACTTTTTAGTTAATCTTGATAAAAAATTTTGCTAGTTCTTAGAATAAGATTGGTATAGAAACATTTAACATATTTTATACATGATGTTCAGAAAATTGAGAAAACTTTAAATGGTACAAGAATAAAGTACATTTATTTGAGAAGATAAGGAAATAAGTTACTAGGAAAAGTTGTTCAAAAGTACTCTCTAATACCAATTTTCGAAAAATCGGCCCCCTAATTGTAATCATTTTTGGTTATAAACCAGTCAAATAATTCAAATAAATCGCAAATAAGTTATAATTGAAAGGCAACAAATTCTTTGCTTCGTAGACTGCAACCAAGATAGCGTATCTGTACCTCTCCAACATCAAAAGAACCACCAACACTGTCTTTGTTTCTATATAATGCAGTGGTAAGGTTGTAGATGTGGCACAATGCCAAGTAATTTAGGAAAGGTTAGTTTTGTTAATGACCTCCAAGTGAAATCCTTCATTGCATTCGTCTTTGCATTAGTAATAATATTAAATATTATATTTTCGTAAGTTTTCTTGAAAACACAAATAAAACACAAATTTGAGAGTGACCCTAAACCCTCGGAATATACTGATGTATTAAACAGATACTTAATAGCATGACTTAATAATATTTTTAGAATAAATTTTATAAATAAACCAGTCTCAAAAATCTCGCTTAACACAACATAACACAGATAATTTACCTGTTAATTCAAGAGCTCTCTCTATGGAGACGGTGCTATCCGAACCCTCCATCAATGGACCAACTTGATCACCTTCAACGGCAAAAAAGGTAGAAACATTCGAATTTGAATCTTTTATAGATAAATCCGAGTGCATTTTCGTTTTATTTTAGAACCAAAAAAAAGTTACAATACCGGTTATAATTCAAACTTTTGAGTTTAAATTGTACAAATAAAGTGTAATAATGAAAAATTATTTATAAATGAATAGTTTAAGTAAATAATATGTCACAAAGAAATTTTTCCTATCATTTCTCGAATGTTTAAAATATTTGAGATACTTTTATAAATAAATAATTAATACAAAAAATGTTGTATTGAGATAATTGAGGAAATAATTAATTCGAACCGATTTATCTCTTAATTTCTATCTCAAGGTTAAATTTTAAATAATAATAAAAAAAGGCGGACTTACTCATTTTTGTAAAATTCCAAAGACTATTTCTAGTGATTATGACTTAAATAACAACTCCGAGACAAGAACCGTCTTAGATAAGGAACAATAAAGACGTTGATAACAACGTAAGTTGTTTAAACTAGTCTACTAAATATCTTTTTTTTACTAGAAAACGGTTTTTGTTCCCCATTCAGGAACTATATCACAAAAATGTTATCTATAAACAATTGTGGAGATAAAATGAGTTACATTGAACTTGATTTTATTTATTATTGGAATAATTATATTAATTAATATGATTAACACTTATTAATTTTTTTATCTTTCTATTTTATTCGTTAATCTCGTTCATTATTATATTTATCCATCTTGAATTGAGACCTTACATCATTTATTATACAGGGTGAGTTATTATTAGGAAGAATATTTAGAATTTAAAGAAAAATGTGTAACAATTTTTAACAAAAATTTCAAAAAATCGTATTGGCCGTGTTTTTAATGATAATGATATGATATGTATGTTAAATTGAAGGTTAAAGATCCTATTTTATGATGTGATATAAAAAGTGTAAGATGATATTATTGAAGTTTCCAACAAAATGGTATAATTTAGAAAAATCTAAAATTGTTAAAATTTCAAAAAATCATATCGTCCGTGTTTTTAATGATAATGATATGAAATGTATATTAAATTGAAGCTTAAAGATCCTATTTTATGATGTGATATAAAAAGTGTAAGATAATATTATTGAAGTTTCTAAAAAAATGGTATAATTTAGAAAAATCAAAAATTGTTAAAATTTAAAAAAATCGTATCGGCCGTGTTTTTAATGATAATGATATATATGTAAGTTACATTGAAGCTTAAAGATCCTATTTTATGATGTGATATAAAAAGTGTAAGATGATATTGAAGTTTCCAAAAAAATGGTATAATTTAGAAAAATCAAAAATTGTTAAAATTCCAAAAGATCATATCGGCCGTGTTTTTAATGATAATAATATGAAATATATGTTAAATTGAAGCTTAAAGATCCTATTTTATGACGTGATATAAAAAGTGTAAGATGATATTATTGAAGTTTCCAACAAAATGGTATAATTTAGAAAAATCAAAAATTATTCAAATTTCAAAAAATCATATCGGCCGTGTTTTTAATGATAATGATATGAAATGTATGTTAAATTGAAGCTTAAAGATCCTATTTTATGATGTGATATAAAAAGTGTAAGATGATATTATTGAAGTTTCTAAAAAAACGGTATAATTTAGAAAAACCAAAAATTGTTAAAATTTCAAAAAATCATATCGGCCGTGTTTTTAATGATAATGATATGATATGTATGTTAAATTGAAGCTTAAAGATCCTATTATATGATGTGATATAAAAAGTGTAAGATGATATTATTGAAGTTTCCAAAAAAATGGTATAATTTAGAAAAATCTAAAATTGTTAAAACATCAAAAGTAACTAAGCTTTATGAACACGCTGTATAGCGTATCTAATATCTTTGGATACTATCATTTACCTATTGGCTTTGACTATTATCTGACATAGTTTCAAGGCAAAATTGGAAAACATGTTGTTTTTACATCGTTTTTAAAAAGATCATGCAATGGACACATTTTCGAAAAACAATTGAATATCTTAGGAACTATGAACGCTATGAGTTAGTAACATATACGGTTGTATAAACAAATGTAATTCTATTCATAATATGATAAAATATACAGGTGTTCCATTAAAAAAAATACATTCTCTCCGTTACGCCTAAATGGAACACCCTGTATAAGTGAAAATAAGTTTATATGGTAGGAAATGGTGAGTCAAACAACTTTTGTATAAAATATTTTTTTCTTTCTCAAACGGTTTAGCAACTATCGTCTGCCTTGTTACTAATAACTCACCTGTATACAGGGTGTATCTAAACTGATGCGAAAGATTGTAAGGGGTGATTTTTCAGCGAAAATTAAGGGGGGTCTTTCATATAACTTTTTGGTCAAAACCACTTCTCCTCCAAGTTACAGCCCTCTAAAATTAGGGGAAAAAATTGTTTTTCATTAATAAATCCACTATGGAGGAGTTTGGAAGGATGAAATTTGGCAGATAACTATTACTAATAAGCTGACATTAGCCCTGTATACAGCCCCCTTAATTTTCGCTGAAAAATCACCCCTTAAATTTGTTTGCATCAATTTAGATACACCTGTATAATTTATTGTGTCCAGAAGATTATTATACATAAACAATAGTAAGAACAATAACGAAGGTTTCCTCAGCCACTTCCTGCCTCCCCTATACATTTCCTCTATTTTATTTTCTCCCCTAACACCTGCCTCCANATAATGATATGAAATGTATGTTAAATTGAAGCTTAAAGATCCTATTTTATGATGTGATATAAAAAGTGTAAGATGATATTATTGAAGTTTCTAAAAAAATGGTATAATATAGAAAAATCAAAAATTGAATAAAATTGAACAATTGAATATCTTAGGAACTATGAATGAACGCTATGAGTTAGTAACATATACGGTTGTATAAACAAATGTAATTCTATTCATAATATGATAAAATATACAGAATGTTCTATTAAAAAAAATACATTCTCTCCGTTACGCCTAAATGGAACACCCTGTATAAGTGAAAATAATTTTACATAATAAAAAGTGGTGAATCAAACAACTTTTGTATAAAATATTTTTTTCTTCCTCAAACGGTTTAGCAACTATCGTCCGCCTTGATACTAATAATTCACCTGTATACAGGGTGTATCTAAATTGATGCGAAAGATTGTAAGGGGTGATTTTTCAGCGAAAATTAAAGGGGGGTCTTTCATATAACTTTTTGGTCAAAACCACTTCTCCTCCAAATTACAGCCCTCTAAAATTAGGGGAAAGAATTGTTTTTCATTAATAAATCCACGATGGAGGAATTTGGAAGGATAAAATTTGCCAGATAACTATTACTAATAAGCTGACATTAGCCCTGTATACAGCCCCCTTAATTTTCGCTGAAAAATCACCCCTTAAATTTTTTTGCATCAATTTAGATACACCTGTATAATTTATTGTGTCCAGAAGATTATTATACATAAACAATAGTAAGAACAATAACGAAGGTTTCCTCAGCCACTTCCTGCCTCCCCTATACATTTCCTCTATTTTATCTTCTCCCCTAACACCTGCCTCCAGTTCATCACCTCCTCTCTCAGCTCATTCTAATCCACTGCAGATTGTGTAAAAAATCCCAGCCTTCCCTCATTCACCATCCAATATCTATTGGTCATCATTGCCACATCTAAACCTAGCCACCAACCTCTTCCCCCTCCACCATTAGGTACTTTTATAGCCATTCAAGCTCTCAAATATTATTTTCTTTTTTCCCACATCTTCCCAAATATCTTAACATCATCATTTTATGTATCTTTTACTGTATAGACAAAACAGTTATCTTTTGCCTTTGTCAGGATGTGTTCCAAGTCGTCTAAGTATTGTTCATGATAGTTGGAGCGGCCGACGTCTTCGAAGTCGGCCGAGAATATTAAAATATGGAATTATTTATGGCGCCCCACGACTGCCCCAAGTATTGTTCGTGGTATAAGAAATAATCTCGGCCGACTTCGAAGACGTCGGCCGCTCTAAGTATCACTAACAATACTTAGAGCGGCCGAGTTTCTCCTTTATCCATCTCCTCCACTTCGCCTTCTCCCCTAGCACGTGGTTCCAGTCCATCACCTCCTCTCTCAGCTCATTACACTCCACCAGCAGATGGTGTACAGAATCCCAGCCCTCCCTTATCCTCCATCCAATATCTCTGTTCCCTTCGCCATTAGGTGCTTTGGTTAGTCCACTACAATTTGCTATATAAGCACATCTCTCTGCACATCAAGCTCTCAAACATTATTTTCCTTTCTTCTACATTTTTCCAAATATCTTAACATCATCATTTTATACATCTTTTACTGCATAGATAACACAGTTATCCTTTGTCAGGAAGTGTTGAACATCATTCCAATCTCATGACACCTACTTCTCTATGCCCTATTCCTCCAACTCTCCTTCCATTTCATTGCTAGTCACATTTAAGCTTGTGTTTTGGAATTATTTCTCCTTCTGTAGATCCATCCTCGCAAAGATTCCACTTTAATCTCAATACTGATTGTAATTATTGATGATATATCATAGCTAACAACAGTTACATGTTGTCAGCTACACCTCTCCCAAAATTAACAATCAAGTTTGAAGATTTGTGGCTCTCCAACCAGGTTGGTGATAAAAAAGTGCTCTACTTGTGTTTATTTTCCTCCCAGTAATATGGTTCCTTTTACCATGTTCCTTCAACAATTTCAACACATTAGTGAGCTTTATAGAGGGATTTCTGTAAAGTCTTTGACAAATTAAATCATGCAACACCTATCTAAACTAAAAGAATATAATTTATCAAATTGGCTGCTATAGTGGTTGACTTCTTATATTTCCAATAGATGTTAAGCTGCCAAAATTAACATTTATACTTCCAACTTCGCCTTAGTTACTTATGGGGTGCCTCAAAGCACTCACTTGGGTTGGGTTTTGTTCATAACCTCAATTAACGACATTCACAAATGTTTTTATCAGTCAATTTTGGATTTCTTGAAGTAGCATCAGTTTCTTCTTAGGAGTTACCCATTCCCTCAATGTTTTTACCACCTTCTTTAGGGCGTATATTAATCTATTTAACCAAACCTAACCTAAAAAGTGCAAATGAAATAAAATCGAACCCATCTAACCAATAACCACAATTTAAACACTTATACGATTGTTAATATTTAACATAAATACCAAGGATTTAATTTAAGTCGATAAATGTTGGAAATGTTACTAATATTGTTAAATTAATTAATTTATTAAAAAAAAATAGATGTGATGTAGGCAACCCAATCTACAATTAAAATATTTATAACAAAAAATGAAATAATTAATTATATTAATTAATTAAATTAAAAATAATTAGAAAATAAGAAATATATGTACTTTTAATTATTATTTATACATATATATATAGCTTTTTTAAATATTGATTTGATAAATTTAGTGACTTTTAATGTTATCTAGTAACTTTTATTGAAATATACCCCCACTCTTGTCAATGTCAAAATACGACATAACCTTCGATTTCAAAACTTCAAATTTGCTATAAATAGCGTCGCATTTAATAATTTTTCATTTTTCGGTTTAAATTTGAATTAAATAAGTTATTTATTTAAAAAAGATATAAATATATACGAAATGGGTGATAAAGCAGTGAAATTCGAGCCGATTACTCACGTTATTTTCGATATGGACGGTTTATTATTAGGTAAGTATCGTTTGAAATTAAATCCACTTAAAAAAAAATTTTTTTTAATACAGATACTGAGAAGGTTTACGAATCGATAATAAAAAAAATTGCTTCTAAATACGGGAAAGAATACACTTTGGAGGTTAGGTCAGAATTAACTGGGAGGACTCAAGTGGATTCTGCGAAAATTGCAGTTGAAAAAATGAAATTACCTATCACCATCGATGAGTATTTAGAGCAATATCATCCGTTGTGTAGGGAATTTTTACAAACTCCCGATTTAATGCCAGGTTAGTCAATTAGTCATCGAGTGATTACTTAAAAAAAATTATTTCGAAATTAAATTTGTAATGGGAATGTCAAAAAGTTTTCGCAACTCATTGCAAGTGTCAAAATGTCCCTAAATGAAAATCGTTTTAATGAAGTTACTCACGTTATTTTCGATTTGGACGGCACGTTAATAGGTAAAAACGATTTTAAAGGTAGTTTTATAAAAATTAAAATTGATAAAAAAGGTGTTAAGATTCCGAAAAGATCTACAAAAACGTTTTTATGAAATTGGCTAAAGAATTTGATAAAGAATTCAGTCACGAACTTGAAATGAAAATATTGGGTAGAAAAGAAGAAGATGGTGCGATTATTTTTTGTACAGATCTTGAACTCCCAATAAGTGTTGATGAATTTTTAGAGTTATATTACCCTATTTGTGAAGAAACGCTTACAGAACCGAGTCTTTTACCAGGTAGAAAAGAATTAATCTTCTAATACACTACTATACTCTATTTTTTAATTAAAAGGAGTGTTTTTAAATTGAAGCACCAAAAAGAAGGGTTGCTATTGGTCAGTTTTAAGCAAAAATTACACTAGGAAATGCTCTCAGTATGGCTAAACCCGAATGATTCTTGTTCTAAAACTAGAACTAATACTAAACCTAGAACTAGAAATATTCGGGTTTAGTCGTGCGTCTTCAGACTAGACTAAGATTCTATAATTTCGATTATTCGAAAAAAAATGTTTTAATGAAAGTTGTTACTGGCTCGATTCTAAATAAGATTTGTTTGAAAATTTTTTTGATTCAAACAATATTTATTAAGATAACCTCAAAAAAAATGTTATATATATGATATATATCGGTATATAGTGCCATCTAGTAACCATATCAAATTTTTTTATTAAAATAATCGATTATAAATCATATTCTAAACAAATTTTATCTGAAACAATTTTTGATAAAATTGAATTTTTTTTATCGTACTATTCACAGGGAAATTTAAGATCCTGTAATTTCGATTATTCGGAAAAAAAGTTTTAATAAAAGTTGTTACTGGCTCGATTCTAAATAAGATTTGTTTGAAAATTTTTTTGATTCAAACAATATTTATTAAGATAACCTCAAAAAAAATGTTATATATATGATATATATCGGTATACAGCGCCATCTAGTAACCATATCAAATTTTTTTATTAAAATAATCGATTATAAATCATATTCTAAACAAATTTTATCTGAAACAATTTTTGATAAAATAGAATTTTTATTCATCGTACTATTCACAGGGAAATTTAAGATTCTGTAATTTCGATTATTCGAAAAAAATGTTTTAATGAAAGTTGTTACTGGTTCGATTGATTCTAAATAATATTTGTTTGAAAAATTTTTTGATTCAAACAATAATTATTAAAATAACCTCAAAAATCTGTTGTATATATGATATATATCGATATACAGCGCCATCTAGTAACCACATCAAATTTTTTTATTAAAATAATCGATTATAAATCATATTCTAAACAAATTTTATCTGAAACAATTTTTGATAAAATTGAATTTTTATTCATCGCACTATTCACAGGCAAATTTAAGATTCTATAATTTCGATTATTCGAAAAAAATGTTTTAATGAAAATTGTTACTGGCTCGATTCTAAATAAGATTTGTTTGAAAAAATTTTTGATTCAAACAATAATTATTAAGATAACCTCAAAAAAAAGTTATATATATGATATATATCGGTATACAGCGCCATCTAGTAACCACATCAAAATTTTGTATTAAAATAATCGATTATAAATCATATTCTAAACAAATTTTATTTGAAACAATTTTTGATAAAATTAAATTTTTTTTTATCGTACTATTCACAGGGAAATTTAAGATCCTGTAATTTCGATTATTCGAAAAAAAATGTTTTAATGAAAGTTGTTACTGGCTCGATTCTAAATAAGATTTGTTTGAAAATTTTTTTGATTCAAACAATATTTATTAAGATAACCTCAAAAAAAATGTTATATATATGATATATATCGGTATACAGCGTCATCTAGTAACCATATCAAATTCTTTTATTAAAATAATCGATTATAAATCATATTCTAAACAAATTTTATCTGAAACAATTTTTGATAAAATAAAATTTTTTTCATCGTACTATTCACAGGGAAATTTAAGATTCTATAATTTCGATTATTCGCAAAAATTTTTTTAATGAAAGTTGTTAATGGGTCGATTCTAAATAAGATTTGTTTGAAAAATTTTTTTATTCAACCAATAATTATTAAAATAACCTCAAAGAAATGTTATATACAGGTGTCCCACCTAAGTTGCCTCGGTCCATAGCCGAATTAGGATTGAGTTTTTCAAAAAATGTTTCAGATAAAAGTTGAATCGAATCATATTGTACATATTTTAAACTTAGTTTCAGTAATGGTACTATAATGGTCATTTCAGACTTCCGCTTCTACCGGCAGAAATATTACTGGCATGCTTAAAAGTGGCCAACAAAACACAACAAGACCAATGGAAACAAAACACAAATAAAAAAACCATGATGTTTCATTTAAAATAACAAAGTTGATATCCATTTCCGGTAGAAGCGGAAGTCCGCCATTACTGAAACTAACTTTAAAATATTTACAATATGATTCGATTCAACTTTTATTTGAAACATTTTTTGAAAAACTCAATCATAATTCGGCTATGGACCGAGGCAACGTAGGTGGGACACCTGTATATAATATACATCGGTATACAGCGCCAACTAGTAACCATATCAAAATTTTTTATTAAAATAATCGCTTATAAATCATATTCTAAACAAATTTTATCTGAAACAATTTTTGATAAAATAGAATTTTTTTTATCGTACTATTCACAGGGAAATTTAAGATCCTATAATTTCGATTATTCGAAAAAAAGTTTTAATGAAAGTTGTTACTGGCTCGATTCTAAATGAAATTTGTTTGGAAAATTTTTTGATTGAAATAATAATTATTAAGATAATTTCAAAAAAATGTTATATATATGATATATATCGGTATACTGCGCCATCTAGTAACCATATCAAAATTTTTTATTAAAATAATAGATTATAAATCATATTCTAAACAAATTTTATTTGAAACAATTTTTGATAAAATTGAATTTTTTTTTATCGTACTATTCACAGGGAAATTTAAGATCCTATAATTTCGATTATTCGAAAAAAATGTTTTAATGAAAGTTGTTACTGGCTCGATTCTAAATAAGATTTGTTTGAAAAATTTTTTGATTCAAACAATAATTATTAAGATAACCTCAAAAAAATGTTATATATATGATATATATCGGTATACAGCGCCATCTAGTAACCATATCAAAATTTTTTATTAAAATAATCGATTATAAATCATATTCTAAACAAATTTTATCTGAAACAATTTTTGATAAAATTGAATTTTTTTTCATCGTACTATTCACAGGGAAATTTAAGATTCTATAATTTCGATTATTCGAAAAAAATGTTTTAATGAAAGTTGTTACTGGCTCGATTCTAAATAAGATTTGTTTGAAAAATTTTTTGATTCAAACAATAATTATTAAGATAACCTCAAAAAAATGTTATATATATGATATATATCGGTATACAGCGCCATCTAGTAACCATATCAAAATTTTTTATTAAAATAATCGATTATAAATCATATTCTAAACAAATTTTATCTGAAACAATTTTTGATAAAATTGAATTTTTTTTCATCGTACTATTCACAGGGAAATTTAAGATACTATAATTTCGATTTCGATTATTCGAAAAAAATGTTTTAATGAAAGTTGTTACTGGCTCGATTCTAAATGAAATTTGTTTGGAAAATTTTTTGATTCAAATAATAATTATTAAGATAATTTCAAAAAAATGTTATATATATGATATATATCGGTATACAGCGCCATCTAGTAACCATATCAAATTTTTTTATTAAAATAATCGATTATAAATCATTTTCTAAACAAATTTTATCTGAAGCAATTTTTGATAAAATTGAATTTTCTTTCATCCTACTATTCACAGGGAAATTTAAGATTCTATAATTTCGATTATTCGAAAAAAATGTTTTAATAAAAGTTGTTCTGGGTCGATTCTAAATAAAAAAAAAAAAAAAAATTTTTAAATTTAAACAATAATTATTAAGATAACCTAAAAAAAGTGTATATATATCATTTAGTCTTGAGAGACGCGCGGCTAAACCCGAATGTTTGTAGGTCTAGTGTTAGTTCTAGTTTTAATTCAATAAAAAATATACAACACTATCATTAGAACTACCACTAGATCTGAAACTACAAAGTTTCTATAATCTGCTAACTGTTAGTCCACTTGTGTGTATTAAAAGAATTAAAGAATTAATTTTAACACCTCAATTTCCCAACAAAAAAAAATAATAATGGTAATAATAAGAAATAAAATAATTTTTTTTTGTAAGGTGCCGAAAAATTAGTTCGTCACCTTGCAAAACACAACATTCCAATCGCAATTGCAACATCGGGGAATGAATGGTTATCGAAAATAAAAACCCAAAATCACGTAAATTTATTTTCGGAGTTCCACCACACGGTTTATGGAAGTTCCGATCCCGAAGTTGTCAATGGGAAACCGGCGCCGGATATTTATTTGATTTGCGCTTCGAGGTTCCCGGATAATCCAAGCCCGGATAAAGTATACCCGAAAAAATTGAAATTAATAGAAATTAAATTGATTGATGATGTGTTGTTTTTAGGTTCTTGTTTTTGAGGATGCCCCAAATGGCGTTGAGGGGGCTTATAGTGCTGGTATGCAAGTCGTGATGATTCCGGCACCGGAAGTTGAGGAGGAATTAAAGAGACATGCTACGTTGGTTTTAACAACGATGGAAGATTTTGTTCCGGAAACTTTTGGGTTACCTCCTTATGATGAATGAATTCGTTCATTTTTTAATTTATTAATGATTGTTGGGGTAAAAAATTGTTCTTATATGTAAAATAAAATTTTTATGAAAATGTTTATCTTATTTATGTATTTTTTTATTGTTTAAAAATGTTTTAATAAATTCTATGTTACTTATACTTAAATGTCATTTTTATCATTAAGTTATTATTATTAGTATCAACTTATTTCATTATTAGGAATATCGTAAATCGAAAAAAATTCCTTACAAATACGTTGTATACGTACTTACCTAGCTTGTAGAGTTCTTCATTTTGAATAGACATTATAGGCATAATAAGTTCCAACAGTTGTTAATTACACATTTTGAATACGATTATGTATTTCCATTTCTACATTTCCATCATTCTCTGCATCATTATCTTTGTCTCCTTCTTGAGTTGTTGTGTCAAGTTCGATGTCTTAATTACAGTGGTCTTTTAACACCTCTTCAATTTCCTGTTTGGTAGTGATTTCTGATTGTTAGCAAATGCCTTTCAAGCCAACTACGGCGTAACAACCAAACATAGCATAATAAGAACTACGATTTATTCGTGCTTGATTGTATACTGTATGCTGGACCTTCAACTAGAAAATTTCGGGTTTCGTCGTGCGTCTACAAAATGATATAGAATTGAATTCCCTTCAAAATGAGTCAAAAAAATAGTCAAACTCGACTATTTTATCTTGTTTAGTTCTCGAGATATTCGAATTTTAAGGTTTGATTATTATCAAAGATGGCGCATTATTACCATTAATTTTTTTATGACAACTTTTTTATTTTTAAACATAAATATATCGTGTTTGGTATCAAATTAAAGGAAATTTAATAATTAATTATGCAATAAAGAGGTGGTAATAATAATAAATTAAGTGATTTTGATTAAAAGTTTTTGAATTCGACTTTAAATTAAAATCAATTTCGTTTTAATTGATAATGATTCAAATAAATAATCTTTTATTTTGGGTTTTTGAAAAAAAGATAATAAAAAATAATTAAACCTTGGGTAAGGATATAATTTACCTTGATTGATAAAGACTTGAATTTCCTTCAAAATGAGTCCAAAAATGAATTAAAATTAATTTCGTTTTACTTTATAATGATTCAAATAAACAATTCCTTTATTTTTGGTTTTTGAGAAAATGATAATAAAAAATAATAAAAACTTGGGTTGGGATAAAGTTTATTTTGATTGAATTAGAATTGAATTTCCTTCAAAATGAGTCCAAACTCGACTATTTTATCTTGATTAGTTCTCGAGATATTCGAATTTTAATGTGAGATTATTATCAAAGATGGCGGATTGTTACTATTAATTCTTTCATCATAACTTTTTTGTTTTTTAACGTAAATATATCGTGTTTGGTATCAAATTAAAGGAAATTTAAAATCCTATCGATCTATTATAAATTTAATAATTAATTATGCAATAAAGAGGTGGTAATAATAATAAATTAAGTGATTTTGATTAAAAGGTTTTGAATTCGATTTTAAATTAAAATCAATTTCGTCTTACTTTATAATGATTCAAATAAACAATTTTTTTATTTTATGATTTTTGAGAAAATGATAATAAAAAATAATAAATATTTGGGTTGGGATAAAATCTATTTTGATTGATATAGAATTGAATTTCCTTCAAAATGAGTCCAAACTCGACTATTTTATCTTGATTAGTTCTCGAGATATTCGAATTTTAAGGTGATATTATTATCAAAGATGGCGGATTATTACCATTAATTCTTTCATCATAACTTTTTTGTTTTTAAACATAAATATATCGTGTTTCATATCAAATTAAAGAAAATTTAAAATCCTATCGATCTATGATAACTTTATAATTAATTATGCATACACAGGTGGTAATAATAATAAATTAAGTGATTTGAATTAAAAATTTTTAATTCGATTTTAAATTAAAATCAATTTCCTTTTAATTTCTAACGATTCAAATAAACAATTTCTTTTATTTTAAGTTTTCGTGAAAAAGATAATAAAAAGTAATAAAAACTTGGGTTAGGATAAAATTTATTTTGATTGATATAGAATTGAGTCTCCTTCAAAATGAGTCCATACTCGACTATTTTATCTTGTTTGGTTCTCGAGATATTCGAATTTTAAAGTTTTTTATTATCAAAGATGGCGGGTTATTACCATTAATTTTCTTATCGCAACTTTTTTGTTTTTTAATATAGATATATCGTGTTTGGTATCAAATTAAAGGAAATTTAAAATCCTATCCATCTATTATAAATTTGATAATTAATTATGCCGTAAAGAGGTGGTAATAATAATAAATTAAGTGATTTTAATTAAAAATTTTTGAATTCGATTTTAAATTAAAATCAATTTCGTTCTAATTTCTAACGATTCAAATAAACAATTTCTTTTATTTTGAGTTTCTGTGAAAAAGATAATAAAAAATAGTAAAAACTTGGGTTGGGATAAAATTTATATTGGTTGATATAGAATTGAGTTTCCTTTAAAATGAGTCCAAATTCGACTATTTTATCTTGTTTGGTTCTCGAGATATTCGAATTTTAAAGATTGTTTATTATCAAAGATGGCGGATTATTACCATTAATGTTTTTATGAAAACTCTTTTGTTTTTAAACATAAATATATCGTGTTTGGTATCAAATTAAAGGAAATTTAAAATCCTATCGATCTATGATAAATTTAATAATTAATTATGCAGTGAAGAGGTGGTAATAATAATAAATTAAGTGATTTTAATTAAAAATGTTTGAATTCGATTTTAAATTAAAACCAATTTCGTTTTACTTTATAATGATTCAAATGAGCAATTCTTTTATTTTTAGTTTTTGAGAAAATTATAATAAAAAATAATAAAAACTTGATAATAGAAACTTTGATTGATATAGAATTGAATTTCCTTCAAAATGAGTCCAAACTCGACTATTTAATTTTGTTTAGTTCTGGAGATATTCGAATTTAATCGTTTGATTATTATCAAAGATGGCGGGTTATTACCATTAATTCTTTAGTCATAACTTTTTTGTTTTTTATCATAAATATATCGTGTTTGGTATCAAATTAAAGGAAATTTAAAATCCTATCGATCTATGATAAACATTTCGATATAACAGACTTTTGGCTGTAACGGACACTCTCTTCCCCCATATTAATCCGTTATATCGAGATTTTACTATACTTTTATTATTATTATTTNGATAATAAAAAATAATAAATATTTGGGTTGGGATAAAATCTATTTTGATTGATATAGAATTGAATTTCCTTCAATATGAGTCCAAACTCGACTATTTTATCTTGTTTAGTTCTCGAGATATTCAAATTTTAAAGTATGATTTTTATCAAAGATGGCGGATTATTACCATTGATGCTTTCATCATAACTTTTTTGTTTTTTAACGTAAATATATCGTGTTTGGTATCAAATTAAAGGAAATTTAAAATCCTATCGATCTATTATAAATTTGATAATTAATTATGCCGTAAAGAGGTGGTAATAATAATAAATCAAGTGATTTTAATTAAAAATTTTTGAAATCGATTTTAAATTAAAACCAATTTCGTTTAATTTCTAATGATTCAAATAAACAATTTTTTTTATTTTGGGTTTTTGATAAAATGATAATAAAAAATAATAAAAACTTGGGTTGGGGTAAAATTTATTTTGATTGATATAGAATTGAATTCCCTTCAAAATGAGTCCAAATTCGACTATATTATCTTATTTAGTTCTCGAGATATTCGAATTTTAAGGTTTGATTATTATCAAAGATGGCGGATTATTACCATTAATTTTTTTATGACAACTTTTTTGTTTTTAAACATAAATATATCGTGTTTGGTATCAAATTAAAGGAAATTTAAAATCCTATCGAGCTATGATAAACTTGATAATTAATTATGCAACAAAGAGGTGGTAATAATAATAAATTAAGTGATTTTGATTAAAAGTTTTTGAATTCGATTTTTAATTAAAATCAATTTCGTTTTACTTTATAATGATTCAAATAAGCAATTCTTTTATTTTTGGTTTTTGAGAAAATGATAATAAAAAATAATAAAAACTTGGGTTGGGATAAAATTTATTTTGATTGATATAGAATTGAATTTCCTTCAAAATGAGTCCAAACTCGACTATTTTATATTATTTAGTACTCGATATATTCGAATTTTAAAGTTTGAATATTATCAAAGATGGCGGATTATTACCATTAATTCTTTCATCATAACTTTTTTGTTTTTTAACATAAATATATCGTGTTTGGTATCAAATTAAAGAAAATTTAAAATCCTGTCGATCCATGATAAATTTAATAATTAATTATGCAGTAAAGAGGTGGTAATAATAATAAATTAACTGATCTTATTTAAAAATTTTTGAATTCGATTTTAAATTAAAATTACTTTTGTTTTAATTTATAATTATTCAAATAAACAATTTCTTTTATTTTGGGTTTTTGCGAAAATGATAATAAAGAATAATAAAAACTTAACTTGGGATAAAATGTACTTTGATTGATAAAGACTTGAATTTCCTTCAAAATGAGTCTAAACTCGACTATTCTATATTATTTAGTTCTCGATATATTCAAATTTTAAAGTTTGAATATTATCAAAGATGGCGGGTTATTACCATTAATTCTTTAGTCATAACTTCTTTGTTTTTATCATAAATATATCGTGTTTGGTATCAAATTAAAGAAAATTTAAAATCCTATCGATCTATGATAAACATTTCGATATAACAGACTTTTGGCTGTAACGGACACTCTCTTCCCCCATATTAATCCGTTATATCGAGATTTTAAAATACTTTTATTATTATTATTATTTAAGTTTAAAATAAATTTAAAATAATCTCATTAAGAAATCGTTTAGTTTTTAGATTCCAAAAGTGTTTGTATGGTTACACAACATCCCCATCAAAAAATGACAAGAAATTCATCACAAGTCCTTCCTTTAACGTAAAAGTAACCCATTGTATTTTTGATATGGATGGATTAATGTTCGGTTAACACTCAAAATTAATTGAAATTGAATTCCTTTTTAACAAAAATTAATTTTGCAGATACCGAAACGATTTATGAACAAGTTTACAAAAAAATAGCCAACCAATACGGCAAACAATTCACGGAAGAATTAAAAGTTAAGATAATGGGACGGCCGGAACTTGATGGCGCAAACGTTTATGTCAAAGAATTGGGGATTCCTTTATCTGGTGAACAGTTCTTAAAGGTGTTTAAGCCAATGGCTAGGTCTCACTTTCAAAATCCTAGGATAATGCCTGGTAAATAAAAAAGATTTAATCAAAAAAAAATGATTATAATTTAATCATTTTTTTATTAGGGGTAGAAAAATTAGTGAGACATTTAGCCAAACATAGCATTCCATTGGGAGTTGCAACATCAAGCCACAAAGACGACGAAGCGATTAAAACGCAAAACCATCGCGATTTTTACAGGTTATTTCATCACACGGTGTGCGGTTCAAGCGATCACGAAGTAAAACATGGAAAACCCGCACCCGACATTTATTTAATTTGTGCTGCTCGATTTCCCGATAAACCAAAACCAGAAAATGTACGTCTTTAATTTAATTAATTGATAAAATAAGATAATTTGAAATGATTTTTAGGTCCTTGTTTTTGAAGATGCACCAAATGGAGTTGCGGGAGCTATTGCAGCGGGAATGTCTTGTGTGATGGTACCGGATCCAACTATTTTTAAACATTTACCAAAACTTCTTACAGCTCAACCCACCTTAATATTATCTTCCATGACAAAGTTTAAACCCGAATTGTTTAATTTACCAAAATTTGATTGATTTAACATTATTATTATTTAATGTAACTTTTTATTTTTTTGTTTATATATAATCTATAAACGATTTCATCGCATTAACAATCTATTTATTATTAATTAATTTTAAAAAAATATTTTTAGTTTAATATAGGCAACCAAATTTGCGTATCTACAGAACTGTCACTATGGCTTTTTAAGCATTAATTTTTAATACAGCTAGATTTATTTTTAATTTTTATTCAACAAAAACGCGATAACACAACAAATTACATACATTTTGTTAATTTATTTCATATTAAACAAGCTTATGTTCTATATGAGAACAATATACTTCCTGTATAGTTCCTGTACATTGTAAGTTTAAACCCGAATTGTTTAATTTTCCAAAATTTGATTGATTTAACAATTAATTAATGGAACTTTTTATATTTTTCTTTATATATAATCTATAAACGATTTCATCGCATTAATAATTTATTTATTATTAATTAATTTAAGAAAATATTTTTCGTTTAGTATAGGCAACCAAATTTGCATATCCATAGAACTGTCACCACAATTTCTTAACATTAATTTTTAATACAGCTAGATTTATTTCAATTCTTTTTCAACAAAAACGCGATAACACAACAAATTACATACATTTTGTTAATTTATTTCATATTAAACAAGCTTATGTTACATATCAGATCAATATAGGTTCCTATATATTGTAAGTTTAAACCCGAATTGTTTAATTTACCAAAATTTGATTGATTTAACATTATTATTATTTAATGTAACTTTTTATATTTTTGTTTATATATAATCTATAAACGATTTTATCGCATTAACCATTTATTTATTATTAATTAATTTAAAAAATATTTTTAGTTTGATATAGGCAACCAATTTTGTATATCCAAAGAACTGTCACCATGGTTCTTAAGCATTAATTTTTAATACAGCTAAATTTATTTTTAATTGTTATTTAACAAAAACGCGATATCAACAAATTACATCCATTTTGTTAATTTATTTCATATTAAACAAGTTTATGTTCCATATGAGAATAATATAGGTTCCTGTATATTGTAAGTTTAAACCCGAATTGTTTAATTTACCAAAATTTGATTGATTTAACAATTATTTAATGTAATTTTATATTTTTGTTTATATATAATTGACAAACGATTTCATCGCCTTAACAATTTATTTATTATTAATTAATTTAAAAAAAATATTTTTAGTTTAATATAGGCAACCAAATTTGTATATCCAAAGAACTGTCACCATGGTTTTTTAAGCATTAATTTTTAATACAGCTAAATTTATTTTTAATTCTTATTTAACAAAAACACGATATCAACAAATTACATACATTTTATTAATTTATTTCCTATTAAACAAGTTCATGTTCAATATGAGAACAATATAGGTTCCTGTATATTGTAAGTTTAAATCCAAATTGTTGAATTTACTAAAATTCGATTGATTTAACATGATTATTATTCAATGTAACTTTTTATATTTTTGTTTATATATAATTTATAAACGATTTCATCGCATTAACAATTTATTTATTATTAATTAATTTAAAAAAAAATTGTAGTTTAATATAGGCAACCAAATTTGCATATCCAAAGAACTGTCACCATGGTTTTTTAAGCATTAATTTTTAATCCTTATTCAACAAAAACGCGATAACAACAAATTACATACATTTTGTTAATTTATTTCATATTAAACAAGTTTATGTTCGATATGAGAATAATATAGGTTCCTGTATATTGTATTCCTCTCTAGCAGGTATATGCTTTTATTGTTATTACCTCGATATTTCTAATTTTCACCTGATATTCAATTAATTTTTGTGGATTTTTGATGTGTTCTAATAAATTTAACAATAATATTAATAAATTTATATTTTTAAAGTTATTTTGATGAAGCCTATTTAGGTTGGTACTTTGGAATGCGAAATAAACGAGTTGTCACTGTCAAAAAATAATTTGAACGATTTCATTGAAAAAAAAAACGGATTTTTGGTCATTTCAGGTAAGATTAATTTATTCTATCGTATCAATATCAATTTACAACGTTTTTTAATTAATAATCGTTCAATAAATAACGTATTTTACTGGAAATATAAATTGAAGGTATGTTCTATATTTATTTCTAATTTATTAGAGATTGAAGTTTGATTTTGAGGTTTTCAATCTAATAATTAAATGAATTTGGTGATAAAGAACATTTTTTTACTTTAATTCAACTCCTTTAACAATAAATTAAATAATTAATATCTTTTTAGGGATTTTCTTATTGCGTCGACTTAGGTTGGTAGTTTGGAACAAAAAATAAATTCAAGTTGTCACTGTCAAAAACTTTTTGGACATTTCAAGTAAGATTTACTCATTATTGCCTTTCTTTTCAATATTAATTACATTATTTCGAAATATTTCCAGGTTTGGATTAAGTTGGAGAACGTATTTTAAAGGTAAGTCCAATTTTATTAAATATTTTATTAAATTTCTCAATAAAGATTAGATACAAAAATTTTTCTATAAGAAATATCGATAAATATAGTAATAATAAGATTAATATCTCTCTAAATACAAATTTTTGGTAACACAAAGTCTATAAAACGTTACAATAAACATTAATAAAATCAAACTTTTTTTGATGATAAGAAAAGTCGATTTTTATATTACAAAATCACACCAAACTTTCCGTTTGAGTTGAATACGCCAAAAATGAGTCCAAAAGTCTTGGCTCAACTAATTCTTGGACATCTTGAGTGTCGATTGATGATGTCCCACAATTTTCAGCGATTCTCCTCAATGTAGCCTTAAAAATTATATTAAAAATTAATAAATGAATCATATTGGCTAAAAAAAAACTTACCAAAGTTGCTACTAAGACGGCATCACTATCATATCGAGCCGATTTATCCCTACACAACTCCACCAACTTCTTAATTCCTCCACATTGAACGATTTGAAACGCAGCATCTGGTTCACTAGAAACCCTTGAGAGTGCAATGATCGATTTCTGTTGAAGCCGTTTAAAAATATCCTCTTTAAACCGATCGGTATGTAGAAAGCACATTAAAACTTTAGGAACTTCATCTCGCGCTAATTGGTTTCGTGCCATTTCCACGCTAGAAACGTTGGCGATTAACGTCGAAACCTGCTCTAACAAAAAAATCGACGTTGTCGGTCCCCTTTTTCGAACCGCTTCAAAAAGAATCTTAATCGTATCGTGATTTAAGATGTACTTAATCGATTTTGGTTCCATGCTTGATAAATTTGCTAAAGCCGCCGTCGTTAATAATAAATTTTGACAACACGATGTTGTTTGTAAGAAATCGGTTAAAGCGGAAATTAATTTTTTGCCATGTTCTTGTAGGCCGTTTATTTTGTTGTTATCTTCTATCCATGGTGCTGTTATTTGGGCTAATAAGGCGATTGCTTCGGATTTTTCGGGTTCGGGGCGAGCTCTTTCGTAAATTATGTCGGAGATGGTTTGGATTCCGGAGGATTTTTCAAATTTTCTTACTCCCAACGAGTTACAACAAAGAGTAGTTAGCGCTCGTAAAATTAAAGCTTTTACCGAAGATCCGTCACATTTTTCGCATAAAATAAGTAAGTTTTGAATCGTTGTTGATTCAGAAAGGATTTTTAATACTTCGGGGTGACGCTGACAAATCCAGGTTAATCCGGTTATTTTTGCCCTTAAATCCATCTCGTTTTCGGCGTATTCTAAACTTTCCGCGAATTTCATTAGTTGAGTTTCTAAGAAATAATTGGTTTGATGCGTAAAAGATTTTTGTAGTTTAGTTATGCTGTCGGATAGTTTGAAAGTGCGTAATTCCTCGTTGTGTTTCTTCATATTCCGAGTGTTTGGGAGTTTGTATTTTTGTAAGAATTCTTTGATTAAGCCCGTTGTGCTTTGAATTAAAGAATCTTTATGTTTCGGTTGGCTTTTTAAGTTTTCGAATTCGCTCTCGATCATTTTGATGTCTCTTAACAAATTCGTTAAGTGACAAGTTGCTACGCTTGCTAAAAATGAAACTTTTTCATTCAAATCGGCCGCAATTGATTTGCTTTGTAACGTTGTCATACATTCCGCGTCGTATAAATATCGGATTTCATCCTGCCAAAGTTTGCAAGATGATTCGAGATTTTCATGAAGAGGAGGTACTCTAAAAAGAGATAATTTTGTATTAGTACTGCCACTACTATTAACACTAGACTTATATCACTTAATTAATTATTATTATTACCTCATTAGTTCATAATTAATTATTAAATGTATCATAGATCGATTGGATTTTAAATTTCATAAAATCATTAACAAATAATGTATATTATAAATAAAGCAACATAAATGACATAGCGAATTGGAGAGTGGTTGAAGATATCGAAGTGCTGAGTGACCATTCTATGATAATGTAAGAAATAAAAAACCAAACAAATTAAAAACCTAAATCCGCAGTGCCTGGTGGATATAATTGCAAATGCTTGTGATGAATCTCTGAAGAAGCGAACAAACCAAATGCATAGGAAACAAGTATACTGGTGGACAAAAGAAATAAAAGAAGCAAGGAAAGTATGCGTGGCGAAACGAAGATTGCTGCAGAGAAATAAGAAAAAACAGGGACAAAATGTAATACAGCAATTATCTATAGACTACACAGACGCAAGGAAAGACTTAAGAAGGTTAATTAAGAAATCAAAAGAAGAGAAATGGAAGGAGCTCTGCCTAGAACTGGAAGATAATGTTTGAGAAGGGAAGAAGTAGATTGCGAAACCGTAGAAGCGCAATTTGAGAAGCTTTTTCCACAATTATCAGAGCCTAAAGAAGATCATGAATTTGAAGAGGCCGAGATGTAAGAGCCTATTTTGTTTAAAATAGATGTATTAGAAAGGGCAGTTAAACAATTAAAAACCAGAAAAGCTCCGGGAGAAGATGGAATCACCAATGAAGTACTGAAAACTTGGGTAAAGTCGAATCCAGACGTTTTTATTAACGTATATAATGAATGTCTTATTAAAGGCAACTTTCGGACATAATATGGAAGTGGGCAGTGCTAGTGTTGGTTCCAAAACCAGAGAAACCAAATCTTTAGTGCAGTGGGAAAGCTCTTGGAACGACTAATTAACAATAGACTGGTCGCAGAGTTGGAAGAGAGGGGAATTATTAGTAATGCACAGTATGGATATAGAAAGGGTAGAAGCAGAGTCGATGCAGTGATGAACATACTGAACGAAACAAGGGAAAGAAAAAGAGTATCACTCACACATAAGGGACTTAGAATGATGGTGCTGTTAGACATAAAAAATGCATTCAATTCCGCATTGTGGAATGAAGTAAATAGAGCACTGAGGGAAGCTGATGATAATGTTGTTAACAAATAATGTTCAAATAAAATAGTCGAGTTTGCACTTATTTTGAAGGAATTTTATCTCAACCCAAGTTTTATTTAGGTTGGGAAACATTTTTGATTGAAATCAGTTAATTTATTATTATTATCACCTCTTTACTTCATAATTGATTATTAAATTTATCATGGATCGATAGGATTTTAAATTTCCTTTAATTTGATACCAAACACGATATATTTATGTTAAGAAATAAAAAAGTTGTGATAAAAAAATGAATGGTAATAACCCGCCATCTTTGATAACACTTCAAACTTTAAAATTCGAATATCTCGAGAACTAAACAAGATAAAATAGTCGAGTTTGGACTTATTTTGAAGGAAATTCAATTCTATATCAATCAAAATAAATTTCATCTCAACCCTAGTTTTATTATTTTTTATTATCTTTTTCTCAAAAACCAAAAATAAAAAAAATTGGTTATTTGATTCATTATAAATTAAAGCGAAATTGATATTTATTTAGAATCGAATTCAAAATTTTTTAATTGAAATCACTTAATTTATTATTATTATTACCTCTTTACTTCATAATTAATTATCAAATTTATCATAGATCGATAAGATTTTAAATTTCCTTTAATTTGTTACCAAACACGATATATTTATATTAAAAAAAAAGTGATAAAAAAATTAATGGTAATAACCCGCCATCTTTGATAATAATCAAACTTTAAAATTCGAATATCTCGAGAACTAAACAAGATAGAATAGTCGAGTTTGGACTCATATTGAAGGAAATTCGATTCTATATCAATCAAAATAGATTTTATCCCAACCCAAATTTTTATTATTTTTTATTATCATTTTCATACAAACCCAAAATAAAAAAAAAAATTGCTTATTTGAATCGTTATAAAGTAAAATGAAATTTTATTTTAATTTAAAATCGAATTCAAAGATTTTTAATTAAAATCACTTAATTTATTATTATTACCACCTCTTTACTGCATAATTGATTATCAAATTTATCATAGATCGATAGGATGTTAAATTTTCTTTAATTTGATACTAAACACCATATATTTATGTTTAAAAACAAAAAAGTTATCATAAAAAAATTAATGGTAATAATCCGCCATCTTTGATAATAATCAAACCTTAAAATTCGAATATCTCGAGAACTAAACAAGATAAACTAGTCGAGTTTGGACTCATTTTGACGGAAATTCGATTCTATATCAATGAAGATAAATTTTATCCAAATCCAAGTTTTTATTATTTTTTATTATCTTTTTCTCAAAAACTCAAAATAAGAAGAATCGTTTATTTGAATCATTATAAATTAAAACGAAATTGATTTTAATTTAAAATCGATTAAATTAAAAATTTTTAATTAAAATCAATTAATTTATTATTATTATCATCTCTTTAGTGCATAATTAATTATCAAGTTTATCATAGATCGATAACATTTTAAATTTCCTTTAATTTAATACCAAACATGATATATTAATTTTAAAAAAGAAAAAAGTTGTGATAAAAAAAATTAATGGTAATAACCCGCCATCTTGGATAATAATCAAACTTTAAAGTTCGAGTATCTCGAGAACTAAACAAGATAAAATAGTCGAGTTTGGACTCATTTTGAAAGAAATTCGATTCTTTATCAAACAATATCAATTTTATCCCAAACCCAAGTTTTTATTATTTTTTATTATCTTTTTCTCAAAAACTCAAAATAAGACGAATTGTTTATTTGAATCATTATAAATTAAAACGAAATTGATTTTAATTTAAAATAGAATTCAAAAATTTTTTAATTAAAATCAATTAATTTATTATTATTATCATCACTTTACTGTATAATTAATTATCAAGTTTATCATGGATCGATAGGATTTTAAATCTTCTTTAATTTGATACCAAACACGATATATTTATATTAAAAAACAAAAAAGTGATAAACAAATTAATGGTAATAACCCGCCATCTTTGATAATAATAAAACATTATAATTCCAATATTTAGAGAACTAAACCAGATAAAATAGTCGAGTTTGGACTCATTTTAACGGAAATTCGATTCTATATCAGTGAAGATAAATTTTATCCAAACCCAAGTTTTTATTATATTTTATTATCTTTTGCTCNAATCGAATTCAAAATTTTTTAATTGAAATCACTTAATTTATTATTATTATTACCTCTTTACTTCATAATTAATTATCAAATTTATCATAGATCAATAAGATTTTAAATTTCCTTTAATTTGATACCAAACATGATATATTTATTTAAAAAAACAAAAAAGTTGAAATAAAAAAATTAATGGTAATAATCCACCATCTTTGATAATAATCAATCTTTAAAATTCGAATATTTTGAGAATTAAACAAGATAAAATAGTCGAGTTTGGACTCATTTTGAAGGAAATTCAAGTCTTTATCAATCAAGGTAAATTATATCCTTACCCAAGGTTTTATTATTTTTTATTATCTTTTTTTCAAAAACCCAAAATAAAAGAAATTATTTATTTGAATCATTATCAATTAAAACGAAATTGATTTTAATTTAAAATCGAATTCAAAATTATTTGACTAAAATCACTTAATTTATTATTATTATCCCCTCTTTTCTTCATAATTAATTATTAAATTTATCATAGATCGATAAGATTTAAAATTTCCTTTAATTTGATACCAAACATGATATATTTATCTTAAAAAAACAAAAAAGTAGAGATAAAAAAATTAATGGTAATAATCCGCCATTTTTGATAACAAACTTTAAAATTGGAATATATCGAGAACTAAACAAGATAAAATAGTTGAGTTTGGACTCATTTTGAAGGAAATCCCAACCCAACTTTTTATTATTTTTTATTATCTTTTTCTCAAAAATCCAAAATAAAAAATTGTTTATTTGAATCATTATAAATTAAAACGAAATTAATTTTGATTTAAAATCGAATTCAAAAACTTTTAATTAAAATCACTTAATTTATTATTATTATTACCTCTTTACTTCATAATTAATTATCAAATTTATCATAGATCGATAAGATTTTAAATTTCCTTTAATTTAATACCAAACATGATATATTAATTTTAAAAAAGAAAAAAGTTGTGATAAAAAAATTAATGGTAATAACCCGCCATCTTGGATAATAATCAAACTTTAAAGTTCGAATATCTCGAGAACTAAACAAGATAAAATAGTCGAGTTTGGACTCATTTTGAATGAAATTCAATTCTATATCAATCAAGATGAACTTTATGCCAACTCAAGCTATTATTATTTTTTTATTATCATTTTCGCAAAAACCCAAAATTTAAAAAAATTGTTTATTTGAATCATTATAAATTAAAACGAAATTAATTTTGATTTAAAATCGAATTCAAAAATTTTTAATTAAAATCACTTAATTTATTATTATTATAACCTCTTTACTTTATAATTGATTATCAAATTTATGATAAATCGATAGGATTTTAAATTTCTTTTAATTTGATACCAAACACGATATATTTATGTTAAAAAACAAAAAAGTTATGGTGAAAGAATTAATGGTAATAACCTGCCATCTTTGATAATAATCAAACCTTAAAATTTGAATATCTCGAGAACTAAACAAGATAAAATAGTCGAGTTTGGACTCATTTTGAAGGAAATTCAATTCTATATCAATCAAGATAAATTTTTTCCCAACCCAACTTTTTATTATTTTTTATTGTCCTTTNGAATATCTCGAGAACTAAATAAGATAAAATAGTCGAGTTTGGACTCATTTTGAAGGAAATTCAATTCTATATCAATCAAGATAAATTTTTTCCCAACCCAACTTTTTATTATTTTTTATTATCTTTTTCTCAAAAATCCAAAATAAAAAATTGTTTATTTGAATCATTACAAATTAAAACGAAATTAATTTTAATTTAAAATCGAATTCAAAAATTTTTAATTAAAATCTCTTAATTTATTATTATTATCTCTTTACTTCATAATTAATTATCAAATTTATCATAGATCGATAAGATTTTAAATTTCCTTTAATTTAATACCAAACATGATATATTAATTTCAAAAAAAGAAAAAAGTTGTGATAAAAAAATTAATGGTAATAACCCGCCATCTTGGATAATAATCAAACTTTAAAGTTCGAATATCTCGAAAACTAAACAAGATAAAATAGTCGAGTTTGGACTCATTTTAAAGGAAATTTAATTCTATATCAATCAAGATAAATTTTATCCCAACCCAAGTTTTTATTATTTTTTATTATCTTTTTCTCAAAAACTCAAAATAAGACGAATTGTTTATTTGAATCATTATAAATTAAAACAAAATTGATTTTAATTTAAAATCGAATTCAAAAATTTTTAATCAAAATCAATTAATTTATTATTATTATCATCACTTTACTGCATAATTAATTATCAAGTTTATCATGGATCGATAGGATTTTAAATTGTCTTTAATTTGATACCAAATACGATATATTTATATTAAAAAACAAAAAAGTGATAAACAAATTAATGGTAATAACCCGCCATCTTTGATAATAATAAAACATTAACATTCCAATATTTCGAGAACTAAACAAGATAAAATAGTCGAGTTTGGACTCATTTTGACGGAAATTCGATTCTATATCAGTGAAGATAAATTTTATCCAAACCCAAGTTTTTATTATTTTTTATTATCTTTTGCTCAAAAACCCAAAATAAGAAGAATTGTTTATTTGAATCATTATAAATTAAAACGAAATTGATTTCCAGATATAATCGAATTCAAAAATTTTTAATTAAAATCAAACAAAAAAGTTGTAATAAAAAAGTAATGGTAACAATCCGCCATCTTTGATAATAATCAAACCTTAAAATTTGAATATCTCGAGAACTAAACAAGATAAAATAGTCGAGTTTGGACTCATTTTGAAGGAAATTCAATTCTATATCAATCAAGATAAATTTTTTCCCAACCCAACTTTTTATTATTTTTTATTATCTTTTTCTCAAAAATCCAAAATAAAAAATTGTTTATTTGAATCATTACAAATTAAAACGAAATTAATTTTAATTTAAAATCGAATTCAAAAATTTTTAATTAAAATTGTTTAATTTATTATTATCATCATCTTTACTTCATAATTAATTATCAAATTTATCATGGATCGGTAGAATTTTAAATTTCCTTTAATTTGATACCAAACACGATATATTTATATTAAAAAGCAAAAAAATTGTGAAAAAAAAATTAATGGTAATAACCCGCCATCTTTGATAATAATCAAACTTCAAAATTCGAATATCTCGAGAACTAAACAAGATAAAATAGTCGAGTTTAGACTCATTTTGAAAGAAATTCGATTCTTTATCAAACAATGTGATTTTTATCCCAAACTCAAGTTTTTATTATTTTTTGTTATCTTTTTCTCAAAAGCCCAAAATAAAAAAAATTATTTATTTGAATCATTAAATATATCAAAGACGATATATTTATATTAAAAAACAAAAAGGTGATAAAAAATTAATGGTAATAATCCGCCATCTTTGATAATAATCAAACATTAAAATTCGAATATCTCGAGAACTAAACAAGATAGAATAGTTGAGTTTGGACTCATTTTGAAGGAAATTCGATTCTACATATATATTGATCATCTACATGTATATTAATCAAGATAAATTATATCCCAACCCAAGTTTTTATTATTTTTTATTATCTTTTGCTCAAAAACCCAAAATAAGAAGAATTGTTTATTTGAATCATTATAAATTAAAACGAAATTGATTTCCAGATATAATCGAATTCAAAAATTTTTAATTAAAATCAAACAAAAAAGTTGTAATAAAAAAGTAATGGTAACAATCCGCCATCTTTGATAATAATCAAACTTTAAAATTTGAATATCTCGAGAACTAAACAAGATAAAATAGTCGAGTTTAGACTCATTTTGAAAGAAATTCGATTCTTTATCAAACAATGTGATTTTTATCCCAAACTCAAGTTTTTATTATTTTTTATTATCTTTTTCTCAAAAGCCCAAAATAAAAAGAAGTGTTTATTTGAATCATTAAATATATCAAAGACGATATATTATATTAAAAAACAAAAAGGTGATAAAAAATTAATGGTAATAATCCGCCATCTTTGATAATAATCAAACATTAAAATTCGAATATCTCGAGAACTAAACAAGATAGAATAGTTGAGTTTGGACTCATTTTGAAGGAAATTCGATTCTACATATATATTGATCATCTACATGTATATTAATCAAGATAAATTATATCCCAACCCAAGTTTTTATTATTTTTTATAGACTGTGCTAATACAAAAGCTACAACTAACACTAGACCTCGATCTAGAATCGTTCTGGTTTAGCCGTCTTGAAAGACGTGCGGCTAAACCCGAACGTTTCTAGTTCTAGGTCTAGTTTTAGTTCAATGAAAGATATAAAAAAATCTAACGCTAAATAACAATTAAATCTAGAACTAAGATTAACATTAGAACTAACACTAGACTTAGAACTAGAGACATTCTAGTGTTAGTTCTACTTTTAATTCAATATTAAATTTAAATCGATTTTTTAACTACATTTAAAATTTACCTTTCATTGTGATATTTCAATAACAAATTCATCTTCGTTTTTCCACCTCTCAAATTCGATTTAATAGAAAAAACTTTCGGCGTCGACGTGTGTTTGGGAGATTCAACATTTCCATCGGCGAAAAGACATTCTAATTCACTATCGGTATCACTTTGAATCGGGCTAAGAGAATAATTCAGCGACCTCCCCGATTGTATCGAATCTTCTTTGATTTCTTCGTAGTTATCTTCGGGGTTCGTTAGAACTGCCGGGGCGCTAATGTTAAAATCGATTTTTTTCTGTTTATTAGGTACTGGAACTGTTACGTTTGCGGCCTCTTCGTCGACCGAGCTCCACGAAGAATCCGCGTCTTCGTATGTGATCTCACTGTTAATGCTTGGGCCGCTCGGTTTCCTTGCATACTGATTAGATTTTGGAATGTTTTCGATTTTTTTTGAAGATAGAGGTGAGTTTGGTCTAAAAATTTTTTATTAATTTATTTATTTAAAAAAAAAAATTAATTTAACTTACAAAGATTTAGCGTTTTTGAACAAAGATCTTGTATTCTTCGGCGAATATTTAACGTATTTGAAACTTTTTGATGGTTCAGATCTGACTTCGAGATCTAAAACGCGAATTGGAGTTGGAATTTCGCATTTATCGATTAATTTTTGATTATAAGAATTCTTCATGTAATTTTCTTTATTTGCATTTTTTTCGATATCGTTTATCTTTCTTCCCGAAGATTTTCTTGGATGCAAAAAAGTTTCGTTGTCGGAAAATCCGGAATCGTGACTTTTTGGGCTTGCCGAAATCGAACGCTGATTAATGTAATCGTGTTCGTCGGATCCCCACCACACTTTACTTGCTGATCTTGTAAAACTCATTTTATTTTAACCTAAAAAAAGAGGATAAAAGTCGTTTTAAGTTTAATGAAGCGTAAATTAAGTAATAATAAGGAATTATTGAAGAAATTGTGAAGGAGCAGTCACTTTAACCGTTAGAATTTGGGCTTTCGCTCATCATCTGTTGAAGACGTACAAGAAGAGTTCTTTCTTACTTTAAAGTTCTCCAAGATTTAATAGGTATTCGTCCCGAAGCGAAATTGAGCTTCCGTTAGTAACACTATAGTAGTAATTTATGATACGTCAAAACCTTCTATACTACCCAATTTGTAGCCGGGAAAATTGTAATTGGATCCGACGTTACTTATCGGAGTTGGTGCAAAAATGTTTAATAAACGATTCTAATAAAAAGTAGAAGGATAATCAGATAATCCTGGTAAATTGCCGATTATAAATATTCATCGGCTTTGCATAAAAGGGAAAACGAGATCTAACTGGTAGGTAACGTCTCATATTTTGACTTATATTTAAATTATCGCTACCAGCTGCCCCGTTTGGATTAAAACAAAATGTAAAAAGGAACCAAAACGATCACAGAACTTGTTCAACCCACTTGAAAACGAAGATTACACCTCTGACTCATGCATTTAAAAAATTAAAAACATACTCTCAGATTTTAATTATAGCGGGGAAGGAATTATTATTACAACTTTTTTGTTTCATTACAATTTTGTATTATAAATAAACATTTAAATTTTTTTTTTTTCATTTTTACATCTGCTACCAAGTTGGCAAAAAATTAAAATGATGTGGTTCTGAGTAAGCGGGAGTACTCAGAAATGAAGAAACATATTATATATTACGTATTCGAATAAATCATCAAAGTACACAATACATGGGAGATTAAACTTAAAAGACTGTAATTTACATAACTTGGATATGAAGAAAAGAGAGTGCCAAAGAGAATCAATATAAGAATGGATCGGAAAGATCAAAAACGCTGGGAAGGCTAAGTGTTCGATGATGCAAGTGAGTTGCTGAGAGTAAGAATGTGGTGATGAATAATAGTAGATAGAAAGGAATTCATCAAACGAAACAAAATGAGAATGGATTAAAAATTGGGGAAAATACTAATAGAAAACTGGAAAACTGGTTCTTTGTGTGTTATTTCGTTAATAAAAATTGAATTTAATGAATAAAGCTAGACATACACTGTGTTAATTAATTATCGTATCCGACGTCATCATTGCAAGTATGCAACCAATATCACAATATTCGTATTGCAAGACGCAAATCGCGTTATTGGTTGCATACCTGCAATGATGACGTCGGGTACGATAATTAATTAACACACTGTATATTAAGGACGATGTATTAAAACAAATATAATGTTAAAATACAAACGCAGTATGAACAGTAGCGGAAATGCTTCTACCATCTGCCCACTTGGGTTGGAAATGTAAAATGTTGTCGCTACTTCTTGAATTTTTAGACTTTGGTATTTCTACAGACGGGGGATAATACAAAAACACCGAAAGTGTTAAGCGATGATGCCATGAGACGTCTCGTTTAGAGCGAGATTTGTCAAAAAACATAGTACGTTAAAAGATAAACCAAAAGAGTTGGATAGTACTGGATCGCTACTCATCGCAAAGACCAAGAAAAGCCACATTATCAGTGAAATACTTATCAAATCTTGCCTGTTAAAAGCCGCTGTTATCCTTCTTGAACCAAAAAATAAACAAAAATATTCACAAATACCGCTTTGTGACAATACTTCGACCGCAGACATAAAAAGAAAGAATCATAGTTTTTCGCAATGCAGTTTGACGAGATTATGGATGTCCATTATCGTCAATCCAAGACGAAATGTTGTTTTCTACAGAGTTAACGTCAACTTTAAAAGCTTATAACGACAGCTATCTCTGAATTCTTTCACAAACATGAACTGTTATGGAAAAAGTTCATGTCATAAAACTTGTACAAACGGCGCTCGTTATAAAATAACTGTTATTAATTGTTTAATACACAGTCAAGCTTTGACGGCTAAAACGCTTTCAAACTTATTCAACGATGTTTTAAAAGTATGCATTAAAATTGTCAATTATGTTAAAAAGCGTGCGAGACGAACACAGAATTTAAAACATTATTGCTCCATTCGGAAGTGCGCTGGCTTTCAAAAGGAAATATGTTAGCGAAATTATAGAGCTTCACGATGAAGTAATTTTGTTTTTAGAAATCCATAAACAAACTGAACTATATGCTGAATTCAAAAAACCAACTGTCCTAGTAGCATGGGCTTATCTATCGGATCTATCGATTCCTTGAATTCACTAAACTAGAAATTGCAAGTCTGTAAAATAATTTTCATGCTGTCTGGTAGGTAAAGGTGTAACTTATCTTAGAAAAAATGCAGAATACCGAAAGACCTAAAATACATACTATTTGTTTTAAAGGATAAAGTTAAGCGCCAATCACGTTATACGATTTCAAGTCCGATTTGCATCATACGTCTAAAAGAACCAACTTAGATACACCAAGAAATTCTACACTAGAAAAATAGATGAACCTACAATTTCGGGCCAGTATCGTTTTCGAGATGTTAGTATAAAATTAAAAGTATCTATAGTTTGATTTTGTACTTTTCAAATGATTTCTATTTTATATAGAATTTAAGTCTAACTAGTTTTGGCCCTTGGCCATCTTCAGAAACTCTACAAATAGATTAACATCTCCCATCTTATCCATTTTACAAACGACAGCGGTAGTTAACGCTAGTTGGCATAAGATATCACTATGTTGCATGTTGTAGTGCAACTAACACTATAGGGCGCCTTAACCCGAAACTTTCCAGTTGTAAATAATGTAAATGTAAAACTAGAACTAACACTAGACCTAGAACTAGAATCATTCGGGTTTAGCTGTCTTGAGAAACGTGGGACTAAATCCGAATGTTTCTAGTTCTCGGTCTAGTGTTAGTTCTAGAGTACGACCAACCCAATATGGCCGGTCAAGCATCGCGATCGTTTTGAAAGGTACACTCAGAACAAAAATTTTGTACCGCTTAATTGAAAAGTTTGACATTTGTGAATGTGAGGTTATGAGTGTTGCATTTTAGATTATAAAATAAAGGCTTTTNGCGCTGGCTTTCAAAAGGAAATATGTTAGCGAAATTATAGAGCTTCACGATGAAGTAATTTTGTTTTTAGAAATCCATAAACAAACTGAACTATATGTTGAATTCAAAAAACCAACTGTCCTAGTAGCATGGGCTTATCTATCGGATGTTATCGATTCCTTGAATTCACTAAACTTGAAATTGCAAGTCTGGAAAATAATTTTTAATCGCAAAAGAATGCGTGAATTTAAGCGCGTTTTAATGAGGTTTTTGAGGACGAACAATTTGCAGCACCTCACCGATGAATTCAAGCGTTATTTCGATAACTTGTGAGATAATAACAATTATAAGTTGACCACGGATCCTGTTTATATTAAAATAGATGAGCAGCCAGAAACATGACAAGAGTAAGTTTTGGATATTAAAAATGATTCTGCTGCCAAATATGATTTTGAAAAGATGGGTAATTATTTTCGGATAAAATATCTCAAAGTTGATAGTCAACTGTATTTATTCTATTCCAGCACCTAATTGGACCACGTTATGTTGAGAAAAACGAGATTTTCGTTTTCATCACTCTGAAAATATAAGACTTCTTAGAATAGACAGGCTCAAACTATTGAAAATTGTTTGGTGCCTGTCCATTTTTATCACAGAACACTGAATAGTTTCCCAGAATTCGTGGAATAAATTTAATCACTAAAACTAGAGACAAAATTATGACGAATTTTTGAAGAAAATAATCTAGCGTTTGATTTTGTACCTTTAAACTGGTTTTTATTTTATATAGAATTTAAGTCTAACCAGTTTCGGCCCTTGACCATCTTCAGAGTCTCTACAAATAGATTAATATATCTCATCTTATCCATTTTACAAACAAGTTTCTTAATATTTCTTTTTGTTTTGTTACTAATTTACAAAAATAAAGTTTAAAAAATTGTAAAATGAAATTAAGGACGAAGTGTTACAAGTTTACAGGTTAAAATTTAAGAACGTTCTTTTTTAATAAAAGAAATATTAAGAAACTTGGGAAAAATTCAAGAGTCATCAGTTGGCTTAAAAATCGACGATTTCTTTTAATCAATGTGAAATTATTCAAAAGAACACGTTAAAAATAAAAAGAAAGTGCGGAAAAGTGACTAACAGTAGATTAATTTCACTTATAAAACTTCTATTACATGATAACTAACTTCAGGTTTAAAATGTCAACCTCAATTTTGACATATTTGTAATCTTCATTAAAAATCCTTTAAAATGAGTACAAACACGACATATTTATCTTCAATATTAATGAGGTTATGGTCAACTTCCGGTTAAGAATGTCAACGTTAATTTTGGCATATTTGTAATCGTCGTGAAAAATCCTTTAAAATGAGTCCAAACATGATACGTTTAATTCCAATATTAGTCGAAATATAAGCAACTTCCGGTTTGAAATGTCAATGTTATTTTGACATATCCTTAATTTTTATAAAATGTCTTAATATTTGTCACAAAAACAAAAATATAATACAAAAAAATTAAAAATTAAGGTTGGTATTAATATTTAAAAATTAAATTGGTATCTTCATTGTTGCTAACTTCGGGTTTAATGTTTTTTATTCAAACTTTTTTGTTTTTTGAGATAAGTGCGTCATCTTTGGACTCATTTTAAACGTATGATGCAAATCGGACTTGAAATCGTATAACGTGATTGCCACTTAGCTTTCTTTAAAACAAATAGTATTTTAGGTCTTCCAGTAGTCTGCATTTCTTCTAAGATAAGTAAGTTACACCTTTACCTACCAGACAGCATGAAAATCCAAAATATGTATATTTTTTGTAGTTATATTATTATACTTATTACAAAATTACGGAAAGATAGGCGTGGTATTTTCATTTTCGGTAGTAGGGAGGCGTGATAAAAAAAATTTTGGAAGTGCTAGTCTAGTGCCTCGGCCACAAGCGACCTCGGC